AATAATAATCTGCACGTCATATCTGCAAACCAATTGTTTGACGTTACATATTAAATTGAAACATTTTAATTTTAAATGTTTACACAGCCGATAGGGCGAGGACTAAAGGTTTTGTGACAGTTTCTGATCGACAATCGGCTAATAAAAGGCACTATTGTTATGCTTTATAAAAATAAATGTTGTTTATTCAACTATACTCAGTCCACGAATTTTAGGGTGTAGATTGCGAGCTTTTATGGTTTAAATCATAGAGAAAAATAGAATTAACCGTGTTCAACTCGTGGATATGTATGTTGAATACATAATTTAAATAGATATATTTTCTGATGAAGTACGTATAAAAATACGAAAAATGTAAGTAAGCAGTTATAAGACGGGCTTGGTGATCTAGCGGGTCAGCATACTGCCTGCCTTACTTCAGATGGTCGCGGGGTCGATTCCTCGCACGGCACACATTGGTATTCATAAGTATCATTGTTTGTATTACTCTGGGTGTTTCTATGTATAATATGAAAAAAAAAATCTATGTATTTATATCAGTTATCTAGTACCCATAAGATAAGCTTTAGCTAACTTAACTTGAGTATAGATGGCGCTGTGTGAATTGTCCTATGATTATTGTTATTATTATTAGAGATTATAAGTATTTTTATATTTCTAATGGTTATATAATATAATATTAATAATCTATCTATTTATTATCTGTTGCATATTGATTTAAAAGTATCCTTAATCATGAACTATTCAAACTTCTAGAGTAAAAGTCATGAAGTCAAGGAATATTATTATTATAGATAGGTTTATAGATAGCTGTAACAAAACTTGATGTAATTTCTAAATATATCTATAAAATTATACATTAAAAGCTACGCTATTGTAACGTATAGAAGAGTGGTAACAGTACTCGGTCACCGCTTTTGTTTCAGGTCGGTCGCCCAGGGCCAGACGCATGCGTGCTCACGCTTACGTTATCGACCGGTGATTCTCCCATCACTTGTATCTTATTTAATAGACAGATATCTCTGTTTAGCTGATATTTCAACAGTATATAACGTTACTATCTACTCGCTTCAGCTTCGCACGGGTGTACATGCATTATATACATAAACCTTCCTCTAGAATCACTCTATCTATTAAAAAAACCGCTTCAAAATTCGTTGCGTAGTTTTAAGCATAAATAGGGACAGACAGAGGCTGCGACTTTATTTTATACTATGTAATGATTCACTATTTTCTCTTACATAACGTTTATGACATTTATGATAAACATATTTTCGGAGAATAATAAAAAAAATGATTTCTGTCTAAGATCGTTGCATTTATAATTGTACTTGATTTTGTATTAATAATATATAGGCATATTTTACTAGTCTTAAACTAGTAATAAGTAGAAATTACATGATATATACTTGTAGGAATGATATACAACAGGTCATTTATCTTATAGGTACCAATATCTGTCATGTAGTAAGTATCAGAATCCACAGGATACTTTCTTGTACTCTGCTTCATTTCCGACCGAATATAAAAAAAAAGTAAATAGCATTATATTTTAAATGTATGTATATACAATATAATATATATGCACCAGCATCCGTATATATATAATATCAATGATTTGACACTTTTATAACCCTAAAGATGCCTTCGATGTATAAAGCTGAAGCACATCACATCAGTCCGAAGGTAGTTTCATAAAATAACATTGCCTACAGATGAACGTGCATTGTCATCGACGGAATTCGAGCGAACTCTCCGCCTGTCATTATAGACTTACAATTAAAGAGTAAATGTAAAGTAAATACTTAACATTTATTGTCGATTTGATCCGTGACATTCATGGTGGAGTACGCCTGCCACTTCCATACTCTGTATTCCAAATAAGACTCTTAACATGTGCAGCATACGGTTGTCTTTAGAATACCAAATAATGTCGCTTTGTCACTTGAATACAACTCAACCCACGCCATCTTTACATTTTTGAGGTGCCTGACTTTTTCACGTGTAGAGGTAGGCGTTAATTTATTCTTTAAAATATCGTTTTTAAAATTCAATTTACTTCTTCGCTTTAATAAAACTCAGTCTGATTGAATTTACATAAAATTAATTCAAAACTTACGTACCTATCTGGCCGGTTATAACTTTAAGTCTGAACAATTTGAAACAAAATTGAAATTAATCCGACCCAAAGGGCACGCAGCATAATTAGGTATCGATTCATCCTAAGTGGATTCCTTAAGGCGATATAGAAGTTGAGCCGCTAGATGACCCCGAGGCTGTCAAACTTTTCCCTGAATATTAATATTAAGATATTGATCAAACGTCCGGTGAACTTCCCGATATTACAATATTCTGTAAGGATTATACTCTGGCTCGTTGCAAGCAGATTAGTAGATGTACTTAGGTACTTACGTAGATAAATAGGTCTAGAGACGGCAGGGGATGATATTATAAGTAGGTATAACTAGGAATCGTATGGCCGATTTAGATGTAAAATAGTAGACACTGCAAAGAAATAACATATTGGACATGAGGTACAAAGTCCGTATGACCCAATAAAATGTGGGTATTTATGCATGGTCGCAGGGCACAAGTATCGGGTTGAACTAGGCAGGCAATACGTCACAGATGTACGGCCACGTAGGCATGTGTCCCATTGTTTAACGACGGCTTTTAAATTCGTCGTAACTGAAAAAAACCCCGCGCCGCCACGCCGCCGAGCCGCCGAGCCGCCCTGCATCCATATGGCTTACAATAACAAATTCTTAACCAAAAGTAAACCAATGTATCCTCGCGTTCCGTTTTTAGTGACTGCTATACGCAGGTCAAAATGGCATACTAAAGCTGTTTGAGTGCTTTTGTTTCCTTCAGCCTTGAAGTGCTTCGCCTGCGAGCTTTGTACAAACAAATAAATCAACGATATCCCTGTGAGTATAGATGTGAGTTACTCACTAAAGCTACTTTTTGCTCCAAGATTTTATTCTTCTATGTTTACTACAATAATAATACTACTTACTCTGCAGTCTAAACTTACTAATCATACCTATATCGATTACTTATAACAATTTATTATTAGCTATAGGAAGTAGAAGATAAGACTAATCATTGTAAAAGGTCAGCAGTGGACCAATAGGTTTAATCTATGCAATGTGAGATGAGATAATTGTGTAACCTTCTTGTATTTACAATAACTACATCTATTTGTAAGTAATACAAAGTGGTTTTCATTACACTGTTAATTGTTGTTAATACACTATAAATTAATAATAACGGTAGGTAAATATAAATACAGATAGTGGGCCCATTTTAAAGTATGTGCACATTGAGATCTTGTAATCTCGGTTCTTATTTAAAATATATTATATAGGACTACTTAAGTACACACTGATCTAAAAATTTATGAATGTAATTGTGAAGTGGTTGAAGTAATACTTGAAAATTATATAAACGACCAAATGAATACAACTTAAAGCAAGCAAATCGTGTAGGACTTTCACCATTTCGCTTCTTTTTTGTCTAGATTTTGTATGAATATGTGAGCTCATTTTTTGTTAGTTGTATATAACTACGTACACTAAGTCCAATTCAAAATCGTATCGTAAAACCTATAAGCTATAAGCAGCGTTAGGTATATAATTTTATGAGAGTTGTGTAGTAAAGTATATTCTTTATTAATAAGAAGTAAATAAATTTAATTTGAGGAAAGTGTAAAGTGAGCTGTGATCCGAGAACAATGAACTGTTAACATAGAACATGCCTAAATGCTTTAGTTCCTTTTAAAATTTCTAAATGTTTCCCAAAATGTACGCCGCGCGACCTAATATTTGATTATCATAGTTTACAGATCGAATTATAATGTGTGGGAAATCATTACTCAGTGTGGCCTCTCTATGTGCTTAAGTTACAAAGGGAATCTACCTATTCGTTGAGCAATTAGTAAATGAAATTTGATGAAATATAAGTAGAATTTTCTTTGAACCCAAAAGTATAAATGTCGTAGTTACATTGTCTAGAAATTAATATCATTGTCACAATCACAGTGTGAGAATTGTATAATTGTCAGCAGGTACAATAATGATAGGTCTTTATTCTATAGTAAGAGTAGTCGTATAGTAAGAGTAGGAGCAAGAATATACGCAAGAATATTTATCTTGTTTCTACTCTTCGTTATGAATTATATTTATTAGGTTTAGCTTATTACAAAATAATCTAACTCAAAGGTGACTGACATAGTGATCTATCAACGCACAGCCTAAACCACTAAACGGATCGGGCTGAAATTTGGCATGCAGGTAGATGTTATGACGTAGGTATCCACTAAGAAACGATTTTGATTAATTATACCCCTAAGGGGATAAAATAGGAGGTGAAAGTTTGTATGAAACTTTGTCAATATTAAACCGATCAGGCTGAGACTTTGCATGCATAAAGCTACTATGACGTAGGCATCCCCTAAGAAAGGATTTTGGTAAATTCCATCCCTAAGGAGATAAATTAACGCGAGCGAAGCCGCGGGCAAAAGCTAGTATAAAATAAAGTCAAATGGTTGGTAAGGGACCAAGAGTACCTAAGTTGTCATTTGATCGAGTACTATGCTAATAGTAATTGACAACCTTCTACTACCACCTAGATGGTACGTACGACAAGTTTAACTGTTTCGCAGACAACGAAAAATTCTGTTGACCTAAGACTATATGGAAGTTCTTGAACATGTCAGCGCGACAATATTTTTTTCATATCTATTGATATTCAGTCTATTGACTGAACTTGGAACCTGTCTTGGTAGATTGTATTCAGACGTTTGGACTTAAAAATGTAAAGTTACAACAATTATTTAAAAGAGCAACACGCATAAGTTTCTATTCATTCTTCTTGTGATAAGACTACTTTGCAAATGAGCGGTATATTATAAGAAGGATAACTGTGACTAATCAAAAGTGCTTTATTAAATTTATTTAAATAAATTATTTTCTATTTTATTGTATTCTTGCCAATGACGATTTAGTTACTTCATATTAAATCCGATTCAAACCCATCCTCACGTATGTCCTTCTTTAAAAAATCTTCTTTTGTTAAATTACTTCTGTTAATCTGTCCCTTAGACATGGTCCAGGCTACCTTCTTTCTTATCATGTACGCTTTTTGTTTCTCTCTGTCTGTATGTAATGATTCCTGATTACCCTGCAAATAGCTACGAAGAATTTTGGGCGAAAATGTACTAGTGTTAATTATGCTGCTGTTGCCAAAATACAACCATACTTTTTCAGTAGGACCGCTCTCATAGTCTTCTATTAACTCTATTAGCTGGTCAATATCCACTGCTAGTTTTTGCAGTTCTGATAGATGTTGAAGGTACTGTAAAATAAGGTTATTAACATTATTTCATTGCAACGACAAGGAATAACTGTTTAAGGCGTAAATGAAGTACCTATTATTTATTGAGTACCTATCATTAATTCACACAGAGTCATCTAGACTCAAGTTAAGCTAGCTTGCGTTATAGGTACTAAATAAGTGATACAAATACATTCGTAAACACATATCTATATGTTGAACATAGAAAACACCTAAACCAAAAACAATCATACTCATGAATACAAACTTTTGTGCCGTGAGAGGAATCGAACCATTGGAAATAAGGCTGTATGCTTAACCGCTAAACCACCGAGGCCGTCAATTATTTTTGCAAAGGATAATGTCCACTATTGTGTAGAACCATAAATATTTGGCTGCGACTTAACTACAATTTGGGATGAACACATTATAAATTTAAATGTTTAAATGTAACTTACAAAATTGTGATCCTTTATTTCTTTACCGAGTTCAGTAACACATATATTGAATATGGTGATCAATCTCGCATATTTCTGCCGTATAATAAACACGGCTTCGCCTATTTGGAAGGGCCTGGACTTGTAGTGATATTTTCTAAAATGTTGAACCCTTTCTACATGTCTTATTCCATCCATTACAATCTCGTAATGCATATACCACATTTTAAACTTCATTCTTCGCTGTACGCGACCGGCGTAACGGGCGTCAGTTTTCATAATTAAAACTGTGAACATCATTATTGCATAGTATAAAACAAAGTCACTATTGGTGTCTGTCCGTCCCTATATATGCTTAAATTTTTAAAACTACGCAACGGACTTTAGTAAAACGATATATAACGGGGTTTTATTAGGAAGAGTGATTCAAGAGGAAGGTTTATATATCTAATACATGTACACCCGTGCAAAGCCGGGGCGACTAGCCATTTACAAGAAACTATATTACAATAAAATAAAAATATTTACGCTTAATGTTCATTAACGCTTAAGTACATCTTTATTAATATTGTAAAGAGGAAAGTATAAATTGTTTCTTTATTTTGATCTCAATATCATATTATAAACGCGACAGTTTGTAGATAGATGCGAAGTATGGTATTTGTTAGTCGTTCACAAAAAAACTACTTAACGGATTTTTATGAAACTTTCCAATACTATAGCTATGCATCAGAATAACATTTTACCTATATTTTTTATTGAAATTTATATATTGATAAATGAATTGATTGATGAATTTAACGACGGTGAAACCGCATCGCTAGTTATGAATAAATTGAAGAAGACTTGACCAAGAAACTCGCAAGTTATGAGCACTAGAAAAATACTAGAGTAGGTTATAGGTACTAAATACTTTTACTACTGGATCATGGTCGATAATTTAAAATTTTGGTTTCGATTAGTAGTCGTTCGAAACTCTAATTTTGAAAAAGCAGTACAGACTTAAGTACAACGTGAGAAAGATATGAGTATAAAAGATCCCGAAAGGATTTTATATGAACAAAAATTTTGTATATTAGAAAAATAAGGCTATATAAACATTCATCTATATTTCTTTGTATGTTCCCTTTGATAGTAAAAATGTGTGGACTGATTTTGACTGACAATATATAATATAATAAGGTAAATGTGAGCCAGATATATTTTAATTTATGTATGGCTACAAACTACCAATCTATACTTACAAAAAAATTGCACAGTTATTAAAAATAAAATTGTTCGAAGCATTTCGGTAAGAGAACTATAAAGAAATATACTAATACAACTCCTAGTTCTTATATTTAACACAATATAAAATTTTAACTACGTTGGCACCTACTATTAAAAGATAAAGTGTAATTTCGTTGTGTTTGGGTTGAATAACAATTAATTAACCATAAACTGATTATACAATATAATTCTCACTACATACAATACAATTGCTTACCAATTACTACATAAAACAAAATAATAGAAACTTAAGTGGGTTTTACTACATTTTATGTAAAGTAGAGCTGTTAGGTAAAATTATTTTATCTGTGGTACTATATTTCAAAAAAAAGAAAGTACTGCATTAACTTAAGTACATCAGACAGAGCAATTGTAAAAAAAAACGTTGAATATGGTTTCAAACGTTGAAATTATTATCTCTAATCAATTTGTTACCTACGATGTACTTACGTAAAAGTTTATACCAAATCCAATATTGAGCAGAAATAAGTACTAATTTAAAACAAATTATATTAGGCACAATATTTAAATCATAAACACAAATCTCATCAATACCGTCTGACAAGTAATGTAATACACTTTTAGATGACTGACACAAAAAGATAATTGTGAGGCTAAAACTCGATTTTAATCAAAACAAAAATTTTGCTTCTCTTGCCCTCGTACACACAGTATGGGATAATTTGACAGAATACATTTTCATCTGGTAATGGTAATACAGTTTTTTATGGTTTTCCGACTGATAGAGGGGTTACTGATTCATTTCAAAAGCCAGTTTTTACTATACCTATAAATTACTTCTTAGTAAGAAAAATAATCTTTTTATAATAATTTAACCACGTGATGTGTATGAAGGTTTTAACAATTTGAAACTTGGTCTTGAAGCACAACCACCTAAAAATTATTCTGAAGATTTCCGAAGGTATTTTAAATAAGTTGGCTGGCGATTACTCTAATTTTAAATTAATAATGTATCTTCAATGGAATTTCAATTTCAAAAAATGTCGTCACACATAAAGTAGCAATAAGGCGATTGGTATGACATATTAACTTTTTAAGACGAGCTTGAAGATGTAGGTAGCACTGCTACTTATTTTTGATGGTCCCTAACTTCCTATATATATATATTGTACATAAGTATACATATACACTTTCAAGTCCCCTAAGTTAAGTTGATGAAACCCATTGTGGTTAGAATAGGGGTTGGTAGAATGGGGAGCGAGTAGGGCGGAGCAACCGCGCCCCTTTAAGCCTCTTTCCTCTCTCTCTCACGTTAAGATTATTGATTTGGGACTTCCGGCATACTTTCCAATTTGCTTACAAAAGATGATATAAAGTATCCTAAAGAAGTTCTTATAGAAACATTCTGCTTGTTATTTGTTTCATCCGAATAAGTACGCATATCAATATTTTCTTTTTCTTCGTTTTAATATTAATATTGTAGTACAAGTGGGTAGCTCTAGGATGCAATAAACTATAGGAAGTAACTTAGATCACCTAATGGTACTAAATACTTTGTTGCAGTGTCATTGACAATCTTAATCAGCAGTTATCTTATACATAATTATGTAGGAACGTAGATACTGCATTGTATGATGACTGCAATATATAATGTTGGTACAACATAGTAACTATGTATGTATGTACTAGTACCTAGTAAATATATTGACCAATTCATCATAATAAAACACGCAACTCATATGTTGACAGATACAGAGTTTTAGGACATTATCTAAATTTTTTCTACAAAGCATATTATTAGATATGTACACGTACATTGGACACACATATAAATAATAATACTAATATTCTCAGGACAATTCAGACAGAGCCATCCAGACTCAAGTTAAGCTTACTAGTGTATTATGGGTACTAAACAACTGATACAAATATGTACATAGATATTTTCATACATATTATACATAGAAAATACTCAGACCGATACAAGTAATCATATTCATGAATACAAATATTTGTACCGTGCGAGGAATCGAACCTGCGATCGGAAGTAACGCGGTGTACTAAACCGCTAGACTATCTAGGGCGTCAAACAAATAATCTAATACGGCTTATTAAAAATAATAACAATGATTTGAAGTTGCGATATCCGATATTTGGTATAACATTTACTTTGTATCAAATTATAAAAGCCTAGGGCCTAATTTAGGTCTAATTTAACCCTAACCCCTGTAGGTTTATTTGTCTACCTCCCTTGGGTACTAAATTAAGATATGTAGATACTTATATATAGTATTTCGCATAATTGAATCGATTTTACTTTTTTTTATAAGTAAGTTAACTTTATTAGTAAGTAGATACTCGCCCCGGCTTCGCACGGGTGTACATGTATTATACATAAACTGTTCTCTTGAATCACTCTATCTATTAAAGAAAACCGCTTCAAAATCCGTTCCGTAGTTTTAAAGATTTAAGTATACATAGGGCAGCGACAGCGACTTTATTTTATACTATGTAATGATATTGAAATGTTATAACAATTCGTGAAGATAAATATTACCTCGTTTCGTAATTTCTTAAAATTAAAGTAATCGAAGACTAATATTCACAATAATTACTGACTTTTCCGCGGCCTATTCAACGGATTCTATACTAAATAAAGAATGGTTTTATAAGTATAAAATAGTGACTTTCCATGAAGCATAGCTCTTTTTAGAGATTTTCTAATCTGAATAATCTTGTAAAGGTTAGTTAAATAAAAATGTATCATATATGTGGCATACATATAGTTTACACTGCAATCACAAAGAATTTTTACCTGAATCTGCAAACAGAACGGTATAGTCTACTTTGACAAATTTACAAAAGACATGTTGCGTATTGCCAATTTTTTGAGAGCTTTATAAATTTTGATTCCGTGCATCTTTTTAGATTTTGAATAAATAAATGTTCTCGTGTTTATTTGACTAATAACCTAAAATATGAATCAAGTATTACTAATTACACTAATTCAATATTTGTTGTATATACAAAATCATTATACCTACCAGTGTCAACACAAACAATGAATCTATTTTTATATAATAATAGTAATAATTCACAGCGCCGTCTAGACCCAAGTTAAACTAGCTAAAGCTTGTGTTATGGGTACTACATAACTGATACAAATACAATACATAGATATATTTTTTTGGTAAATACATACATATTATATATAGAAAATACCCAGACCGATACAAACACTCATGAATACAAATGTTTGTGCGTTCAAGGAATCGAACTCGCGACCATCGGACGTAAAGCGGTGTTGAACGCTAGATCGCCGAGGTCGTCAAATTTTTATAATTCAACACAATTCACAGAGCACCACCTAGTCCTAAGCTAAGTAGACCTTGTGTTATAGTAGGTATCTACGAAACTGATATTTAAGTACATTTTTTCGAAAATACATAAAACACCCATACCCATGCAAACAATCATACAAGTGTTTGTACTGTGCGAGGAATCGAATCCAGCCATCGAAAGTAAGGTATTACTAAATAAGGTATAGATTGCTACGCCTTTATAGGTATAGATAATTGATTCACGTGCCTACATTTTTTTAATGTATGATAATGTACTGATTCACCAACCGGGGCTAACGGTTTACGCTGGCGGGGCATCAGTGAAGGATGATAAGATGAACATGAAGTCAGATGAATAGATCAGTTAGCCCATTGTGACAAATTCATCAGGAATTTATCACGACGGTTTCCAGAGGGAACCGCGTGGAGGTCAACCTGACATGGTACATTGCTAGTAATAGGGTCAACAGTCCACATTACTAACAATTCCCTTTCCGCCACTTGCCTACATTTGTGGCAATTGATTTTTATTTAAATGGTTACATGAAGTATGTTTGAGTAAAATATACTACATACAAACAACATATAAACTTGGTTCAACGCTTCTTCTAACACTCACCATAGGTGAAATGTTTAGAAATTGTTGTTATTCTCTCGCAGCACGAGATCTACATCCTTATCTCGGTTTGTTTTGATAAGTTACCAACAGATAGTAATTACTGAATAATGACTCTCATTAAATCTGTTGATTTATAACCTCGATTGAAACTTCTCATTATCAAGTTTGCTATTATTTATACTCATTCGAGTGTAAGACATTTTGTAACAAACTTACCCTTGATGTGCATAATAGCAACAAAGTAGGTATCATAATTGCTTACATCTATACATATAAATAAAATTTGAGTCTCTGTTTATTATATTGAAATAACCGTGTTTTATTACATGCATATGAATATATATACGGTACATACACCTAAAAACATTTTTTTTAATTTTTGGCTGCCTGTCTGTTTGTTATGGCTAATCTCTGAAATAGCTGGACCGATTTCAACGGGACTTTTATTGGCAGGTAGCTGATGTAATAAGGAATAACTTAGGTTACTTTTAGTTTAGAAAAATTATTTTATTTTAGAAAAATAAAGTTAAATTCCACACGGATGAAGTCGCTGGTATAGCTAATTAGTAAATAATATAATTAAAATACTTTGTTGCTATTATATTAGTCACAGATAAGATCTAATACTCGTACATATACTTTGTAGCGTACTCGCTTTCCAATACGGTTCTAATGTACATATATGTATGTATCTACTATTGTACCGTATGATTATAAATATGGACCTAATTTATCTAGAATTTTACAGTGTTAGTGTTAGTTACCATAGTCCTCCGAAACGACTTGATTGATTTTCATGTAATTTTATATTCGGAGATTTAAGAATCGGCTATCTATTTTTCACAACCCTAAGTGATTAGAGTTGTCCACCCTTAACATTTTTTTTTAATTTTTCCTTCCATGCTCCTATTATTTTCAATATGGTTTACTGTCAAATCAGCGAATCTAGGTTTCTTTCTGTGTTATTATGAAAGAAATCCAACTTAATAATATTGCATTTATAATTTAAATAAATTGTGGTTGAATTTCGACCACTGGCAATTACTAGTGTTACCACATTAACTAAACATCCCGTTAGATTATTGATATCAAAAACAATTCTTATCGAACTTTGAATTCGGTTTTATCTACTTTCAGCTAATCTGTAATATTCATACCTCATTTAATACATATAGGTACGTGTTTATAGACAGAGTTTGTGTGAATACGATGATACTTGGTGATAGCAGGCAGCACTGCGTATCGTGGGTATGGAGCGCGTACCGGCGGCGCTGTTATCTACAGCTAAAGAGAGCCTGGCGTGCGGACATTTACATTTTAATTGAACCCCGAGGGGAGACTGCACCGGATAATTTCCAAATGGATTAATTGTGTTCCCGCCGGCTGGTGACGTGAGGGGGATGTTAGATCAACCTAACCGACCATATATTTCTTGTAAAGGCTACGCTAAAATTGTTTTTAAAGGCAAATTGAAAGTAGACGCTCACTCACAAAATGCTCGGTGAATTGTTTTTTAAGAAAATTCTTTGTTCTTTTTAATTGAATCGGATATAAACGGTTACAAACACTATATGCCTACAATTTAATTTTTTATGTGATGTTGTTATGTTATCACTTGTGAGAGACTTTTATCCTTGCGGAATAGATATCCTAATAAAAGAAGAGAGGAGATCACGATCATCGTCATCATCATCATCACCACGCTTACCACTTTGTCATCGCCATCTATGATATATTCTAACTGATTCAATTATCAGTTATGTGATTATTATAGGGACCTTCATATATTATAAGTTGTACCTACATATATGTATAGGTATATTATTTACTTTGGAGGCTCTGGGTAGGTATAGACCCTATAAACATAAAAACTTTAAGTTCCACTTCTATATTTTCAGAAGATATTATTGCCAGAAATGTTTTTAGTAATTGTATAAAACTAATTGAAATTAGGTAAAATAGGTAGGTACATATTTGAAAAATAATACCTACTACTTTAAAACATGAAAAAGAGTCGTTGGTAAATATGTATTAATATAATGGAACGCTACATAGGTAATACAACAAAGAAATATACGTAAAATTTTGTTGCTTTCAGTAAATAAATTTCATTTCTCTACTCTGTGCCTACTACATCCGGTATCGGCGACAAGCCGTCTGCCTCAACGTCCATAAAAAAGTCACCAAGGCAAAACTACTCTACTTTCAAGTAAACTATAGATGTCAACTAAAAGATAAAACTAAATTAAATATTCAGTAAATACAAACCAAACAAACCTCTAAAGTTTAAGCGTTAAGAATTATGTAGAGTGCATGGACTCTATAATTTATGGAGAAAATACGGTGACGGGCGACGCTGAAAGAAGCGAGGGGCGGACGGTAGCGCAACGAATGTCACACGTCATTAATTATTAGTCAGTTTTGTTCCATTAACGACCTTTTTTCAGATTCGTCCAAACTTACAGCAGTTTTCACTAAAACTCTTCGTACTCAAATTTAAACCTTATACGGTAGTGGAATTGAGCACATTTATGAACTAAAATTGAAGTGTGCAGCTTAATCCATAATTGTCGTAGTGCCAATAATTCAATCTGGATAACGTATCGGTCTTCTATCACAGGATCCGCCGCTTAGATCAAAAAACTGCAAATGGAGACACGGCATAAAACCGTCGAGTTCCTGTCATATTAAAGTAGATGGAAGTGGACCTTAAGAATATTTTTTTTAATGAATGGTGTATCTGTCTGAGCGCTAACGATTTTCGTGGCGAGTGAAGGATGAAAGGATAAGTCAGTTAGGGATTGATCACGATGGTTTCTAGGAGGAACCGCGTGGAGGTCAACATGGTTGCTCGCAATGGGTTATCTATCCACATTACTATTTTCTTCCTTATTAATCATGGATCAATGGATCAATGGATTAATAAGGAAGAAAATAGGAGGAGATATCTTTCCCCGGTTGTTAAAAAAAAAAGAAGTTTAACTAAGAATACCATTCCAATACCGGATAACATTCTTTACCGTGCGGAATAAAATAGGTAGAGCATGGCATACAAGATGGCGACTGATATATATATTTTTAATACTTTATTGGTTTGGCTTGGAAGATTTCATTATATACCTAAACAAGTCTTCAAATTTCCTTTTGGGGAAAAAAATAATTTTAAACTGCAATATCATACTTATTAATAAAATTAACAAAAAAAATATAATTAACTCCTGTTTGCCTTGAATATTTTTTTATGCTTTATAAAGCTGCGCCAGTTAATAAGTGTACACCGTGATATACAGAAGGCATCGGGTGGAACTCTTTACAGGATTTTCAGAGAAAATTCAAATAGCATGTACTTATTACATGTATCTAATTGTAGTCTGATTACGTATAGTACTTGTACTTTATATAGTTTAAATTGCCTAAATTTTTAGAAACGGCAAATTAAACCATCCGGTTATGCTAGTCATATGTATGTATCAACAGCTAAGATTTAGTGTACTATTATTCTTGTTAGGTGGATATACGGCCTCCTCACCGATTACGATTTTATAATAGTTTAGTTGTCAAATACTGATTAACACTATTGTAGAAAATTATAAAAAGACAATACAATTCTTCTGCTGCGTACATATTATTTATTAGTTAACATATTATCTCACATATTATCTCAACACAAAAGAACCCCACCAAAACAATTCTATTGACAGGAAATATTTATTTTTTATGCTGAATAACAAATTATGTGCATATATATGTATAGTAACCATTACATCTAAGATACTCGCATAAAAATCACATCGGCACTTCATCTGCATTTTTTGTAGATGTACCTATTTGATAAAAGATACTACTACTCCAAGTCCTAGTTTCCCAAACTTTGATGTTGGCAAATGCACCATAGTCCCAAGCCAAGAGAAAAAAAAACTAACATGTAGCAAATATTTATTATACTAATAGCACTTCGCTACCTACCTACCTAACCCCAATATCCTTTACCAGTTTATTTTTTATTATTTAAAAGGTATTTATAATAAATGTGACAATGTAATAATCATCTATACTAAATAGTAATGAAGAACCAGCTGACTTGAGTATAAAAAGACAAAGAAATCAGGTCAGTTGTCCCATAGTAACGAATGGACTATAAAAAGATGAAGATGAAATTAGGTTAGTTGGCTGGTACGGTGAAATGAATTCACCACAGTAGATTCCACTGCGGACATTAAGGAAATCGAGTATTGCAAGCCCTTAGGAACGCTCTAATGTTTTATTACATAGTTGAAGAGGTATAACCGTCTTTTTATCGAATTATTCTAATGCTGTTGGGTCCAGGTCTTTACAGCTTCACCGACCGATAAGGAGCGAGTGCAGATTGCACTCCGAACCCCCCTAACCTGCGGAAGTACTTATGAAGTGGCTGAAGGCCTACTCCTGCCTGGTGGATACGACTTTAGTCTAAGGTTACAGCTAGGGGTACAAGTGTAACATGTCTCATCATGAATAAAGCCAGCTGCTTGGGGTAGAAGTAAGCCAAACAGAGAATCGACGCAGGATCTCGAAATTGACTAACCTGTATCTGGATCATAGCCTGTGAATTCATATTTACTCGGAAAGAAAAGAAAGAATATTTCGAAATTATTAGAAGAAATTAGGATCCGTACTAAACTTGAAGATATAAAAACATGCCGAGTTGTGCATGTCCGAGACGGCAGCCTTTTATTTATTTTTTATCAAGCGTTCTGGTAAGAAATAAATAAAAGGCTGGTGTTGCGGGTACTCATGGGCGGTGGCAATCACTTACCATCAGGTAAGCCGCAGGATCATTTGCCCTCTACGTTAGAAAAAAAGTCGGAAATATTAGCATATTCAAAACGGCATGAGGAACTTATAAAAAATATTATAAAAATGAAAAGGAAAGAGGGAAAGAGTTACTTATACCACAGATAACATAATATTACATACAGATACCCTATCTTATACAAGAAAATGGTTCTATCCTAACTCGGGCTATTCTTCGGTCTATTTTATTCGCTAGATGTCACTAGATCTGAAACAATGTGGTTAAACTTATAAAAAAAAGTTGATGTACCTATCTAATATTAGGGGAATAATAGAAAATCTTAGAAGTAATACGAGGTATATAATTTTTAATCTCTGAGCGACATCTATCAGCGCAATTGTTCACTACAGTTGCTGTTTTTGTCATGAAAACATTAAATTGACGATACCCCTGACGCCATCTATTGGGTGCTTTTATAATAGTGCTTAGCCCTGCGCCCTGTATCATAGAAAGCGGCATTGAATAATGAATGTGGATGGAGCTTTAATCAACAAGAAGAATACGAAACATCAGTTTTTTGTAATATTATTTGGACTGTTCAGTGTCCCGATTTTGATATATAAACTAACAGATAACGAACTTCATACCTACATATGAAATTAATAATATGTCAAACGTTTTTGGTTAACTTGTGCTTTGCGCTATAAATTTCTAAACGCACCCCTGAATGACAGATACGAACCATTTGTATGGGAAAATAATTGGTTGTTTTTACTATTTTACATGCAATTTCTTCATATTTTCCCAACATTTAAACTTTCCTTGGAGTTCTACAAATATTTTAAAATCAAAATTTATCAAATCGGCACAGCCAACCGTTGTCGAGATAAGGAAATAACTGACATATGGATTGATTGATGCTGATTGATATTAGCAGTCAAACCACTGACATTGAGAGTCTGTTAGAATTTTGCTTATATAGGTATATATTAAACTCAAACTTGTTGTAAACACAAGTTTGTTTCTAAATATCTGGTTATTGGTGTTATTTACCATTAAATACTTATATATCCTGGTGTTAACATATGCTTTATCTGTTTTCCTATTTATTAAGTATATAAATTTTAATTGAACACCGCGCTTTGTAACCTTCACCTTTTCAAACGCTGGTTTGTTTACATCTTTTTGAGGCCCGTTGTCAACCGAAAATATCACAGAAAGTACGTGACTTTCTGAATACAAAGTAAATTACTTACTATCTTATAATGTTAGTTGCAGTTTACATATAGTTTGTAATAGTCCACAATGAGAACTGTTCCCAAATGGGTGAATAAAATCCATGAAGCTGATAAAGTCGAATTTTCCAGGTAGGTTACTATGCCAATAATAACTTACAACATTAAGAATAATTAATTTATGTATACAGTAAAAGCTTCTTATTTGCGCTTCCTTCATTCGCGTTTTCACTATACGCGCATTAAAAAATGCGATTCAATTCCTACCTATTTTTAGGAAACTAACTAAAGTATGTTATTAAATGATCTCGCCGAGGACTTGACATTGAGCCTCCTTCGCCACGATCCATGTGTTTGAGAATGTCAACAAACAGAATGAAAAGCGTACATGGATATCAGTCTGAATTGTAGGAGCTTTTAAAAACTGCAAGAGATAATTACAAAATTCTTAAGCCTTAAGATAATGAATAAAAATGGTCAAAAACTTCAATTAAATTGATGTTTTTATATACATTTATATATTTTTTTATTTTTTATTTGGTACCTAGAAATGTTGCTCCTATAATTCCATATAAATTACCATTCTATTTTCACAGTTTCAGTATTCACAGCTTAATATGAAACATATACTCTGCAAATAAAGAGCTTTTACTGCATATTATTTAACTTTGTATTTATTCTATTGCCTATTTATTAATTTTATTAAAAAGTATATTAAGTTAGTTAGTTACTATTAGTTATTTAAAAAGCAGCCAGAAATACAATGTATGTAAGGGGAATCAAACTAAGCTTGTTGATTTACAAAAGGAGAAAGGAGAGCTATAAACTAAAATCTATCACAGGTTGGAATGATAATGATAGGATTGCAGTTCCATTGTGCCTCTTTCTAGTAATTTTTTTTTATTAATTATGGGATTGTGCTTGGTCTTACCTCATCTCATGGTAGATGATGGCAATACCCAGGATGTAGTTGTAGTATGATAGAAATACATTGAAGATTTGTAGACATAGACTACTGTACAGAAAAATTAATATACCACCTTAATTTTGATGGTTGTCAGGTCAATTTGTTGCTCGCTTCAAATATTTTTCAATATTCATAACATGATTTTATGTATATGTACAAAAAAATGTTCATGTCCATATTTATATGGGTTCTCTAGTACCCATAACACGAGATCTACTTATGTTATGGGTGCTATGTGAATTGTTCTGAAATAACATTATTGCTAATACGAGTATTATGATTACTTTAATTATTTTTTAAATGATTACATTTTTGTTTTTGTGTTATACTAAATTAATAAATTATTTAAAATTAAATAAAATAAATACAATATTAGAGACTATTTGAGAATCATCTTGTTGTATAACAATAATTGTGTGTGTCTTTTATTGTCACCCTCAATATAACTTTTTATCAAAAAAGTCAAATATGTAGGGTACTAAAATATAATCATTCCATGTAAGCCTCAATACAAGCAGTCATATTAAAAACATGTTTCTAAAATATAAATGTGTTTTAATCCATAATATTGGCGACGAGTGATAAATTTATAGTGATAATAAATGTACAAACATGCAAGCAATTAAATTCCACGAGTACCGACCGGGAATGAAGATTTTAGTCACTACATAGATAGGCTAAATTATTGTTTTGTGGCAAATGGAATTTGCGACGATAATGTGAAACTTGCTAATTTCTATACAATTTGTGGCTCTGAGGTGTTTGAAACGGTGCTAGCTTTGATAATACCAAGAAAATCACATGAAGTCAGTTTTAACTATGTGGTTGATTTATTGACAAAACATTATACACCTAAATCTAATGAAATCACCATGTCCTACAAATTTTACAACCGCAACCAAAGGGAAGGCGAAAAGGCGCTCGATTACTTAACAGAATTGAGGAAAATAGCTGCACATTGTAACTTTAGTAATTTGGAACGAAATCTTCGCGATCGTTTTGTATGTGGGATGCAAGATGAGAAATTGAAATTTGAGTTACTGAAACGAGACAACTTAACATACAAGGAAGTGGTGGATTGTCTAACAGCAGCAGAAACAGCACATCGTGACGTCACAATGATGCGTGCAGTGCAGCCGACCCCAAGTACATCCAGTTCAACATTTGAACCAATGGATATTGGTGCCATACGTGACAAAAATACCACCAATAATAGATATAGATTCTGTTATCGATGTGGTGATAAACATAGTGGTACATGTCGACATGTGAACTCTAAATGCAATTTTTGTCAAAAAATTGGGCATTTAGAGAAAATTTGTACACAGAAACGTAAAAATCAGAATATCCGTTACACAACTGAGGAAGATTCGAATATTCAGAATAATGATTCACTTAACGGTATATATTGTGTGAATGATATAAATAATCTACAGAGAATACCGCCTATACAGGTTGATGTCTTATTGAATGGTTGCGAGACAAAAATGGAAATAGATTCGGGGGCATCATATTCAATAATAAATGTAAATACATTTGAAAAATTGCCTAAATACTTAAGGAATAAGTTACAACCAATGATTCTACGGTTATCAACATGGACAAATACATCACTGCACTTACTAGGACAATTAGATGTTGATGTGACATATAATAATAAGCAATGTCCATTAACAGTTATTGTTGCTAAAGGAAAAGGCCCTAATTTGTTGGGTCGGAACTGGTTTCAACCTCTAAATATTTCTATAAATAATATAAATTTAATAGAGCATGAGGGCATACAGTGTGAAGACTTACTAAATAAATATAAAAATATTTTTTCACATGGCTTAGGTACTTACAAAGGAGAGCCTGTAGCAATACATTTAGTCCCAGGAGCTGTCCCTAAATTTATAAAGGCGAGACCAGTACCATATGCTTTGAAAGATCGCGTAGAACAAGAGTAAGACAATTTGGTCAAAGACGGTGTATTGAAACCCATACCGTATTCAGAATGGGCAACTCCCGTAGTACCCATTGTAAAAAAAGATGGCAGCATTAGATTGTGTGGTGATTACCGAAGCACAGTGAATCAAGCTACAGAATCGGATACATACCCGATGCCGACTGCTAATGAAATTTTTGCGCTCCTGGCAGGAGGACGATTTTTTACAACTTTGGACCTGGATCGAGCGTACACACAGGTGCCAGTTGATGAACAGACATCAAAACTACTGACATTAAATACAACCAAAGGTCTGTTTTCAGTACATAGACTAGCATTTGGTGTTAAAGCCAGCCCAGGTATTTTCCAGCGAGCAATGACAGCATTACTTGCAGATGTCCCAGGAGTTGCTGTTCTGCTCGATGACATTATTATTACTGGTCATACACTAGAGGAAATGAAAACTCGACTGAATATAGTTCTGCAACGTTTAACAAACAAGGGACTAAAGCTTAATCAAAACAAGTGTAAGTTTGCAAAGACACAAGTTGAATTCTTGGGATTTCTAATAGATGCCGAGGGTATACACCCTGCAAAAAGTAAAATTAATGCAATAATAAACACGCCACCTCCAAGGAATGTTCAGCAACTTCAAGCATTCCTTGGATTATATAATTTTTATGAACGCTTTGTACCTCACAAGGCAACAGTTTTGGAGCCACTACATAGATTGTTGGACCAAAAGCAGGATTGGAAATGGAGTAAAGAGGAACAACAATCTTTTAATACCGCAAAAAGTCTACTTGCAAATGATGTCTGTCTTACACACTATGACACAAAGAAGAAACTGATTTTAACTTGTGATTCATCAGACTATGGGGTAGGAGCCGTTCTGGCACATATTATGGATAATGGTGATGAGAAACCAATAGCTATGGGATCAAGAACACTACACCCACATGAAAGACGATATTCTCAATTAGATAAAGAGGCCACGGCAATTCTGTTTGGGATTAAAAAATTCAACAATTATTTGATGGGTCGTCGATTTACAATTATAACGGACCATAAACCGCTTCTGGGAATATTTGGGACTAAGAAGAAGATACCAGATATTCTTTCACCACGATTGACTCGTATATGTTTGACCTTAGCAGCACATGATTACGAAATTGAATATAAACGTGGTAAGGAAATTAGTAATGCTGATGGACTTAGCCGCTGGCCAATGCCAGTATCATCTCAAGATATTGATACTCCAGGGAGGTTCTCTTAATAGCAGAAACACCACATGACTTGCCATTTGGTCCAAAAGACATTGAAAGAGCAACTTCTGGAGATCCAACTCTCCATAGAGTAAAATGGTTCATTTTGAAAGGGTGGCCAGCCCGAATTACAAATAAAGAGTTACATACATGTTGGCTACATCGCTTGGAGTTGAGTATACAAGATGGCTGTATTTTACTGGGAAGTCGTGTGGTATTACCAAATAAACTTAGAGAGGACATGTTAAAACTATTACACCAAACTCATAATGGTATAGTACATACTAAAGCTCTGGCTAGGAGTTATGTATGGTGGCCACAAATGGACAGAGATATAGAGAAGATGATCAGCAACTGCCATTCCTGTTTAGAAAATAGAAATATGCCAACAAGATCATCACATGAATGGATTATGCCTGCTAGACCATGGTCCCGTATTCATGTTGATTTTGCAGGACCTTTTCAAAATAAAATATTTTTGATAGTAGTAGACTCATATTCAAAATGGCCTGAGGTTCACATTGTAAATTCTATGGCATCTAGCATTGTTATCAAACATTTACGATATATCTTTGCGCAACACGGGCTTTGTGAAACATTGGTATCAGATAATGGTACATCTTTCGTGTCAAAGGATTTTGAGGACTTTTTAGTGGCTAACAAAATAAAACACATTAGGACAGCGCCATATCATCCCGCCACCAACGGGCAGGCCGAGAGAATGGTTCAAACTTTAAAAAATAAACTAAAAAAGATGACAGATGTACCTTGGGAAGTAAAATTACCAAGAATTTTGCTGACATTACGTAGTACGCCTTGCACATCAACTAAGAGAAGTCCAGCCGAATTATTGATGAATAGACAGCTGCGGACTTTATTAGACACTGTTCACCCAAATATCAATCATTACAGAAAGACAGAAAATCAGATTATACATAATGCAAATAGGAAGAATCGTGAAACTCAAGTTGGAAAGAAAGTAATGTACAGGAACTATGCAGAAGGAGAAAAGTGGAAATCTGGAACAATAATAGGGAAGGAGGGTCCTTCTAGCTATAGAATAGAAACAGAAAATGGAGAGTGTATGCATAGACACATAGATCAATTGGTAACACTTAAGGACACAGAGACAGAAGAGTTAAGAACACAGGAGACAGAAAGTGAAATACAAGAACAGGATGCAGAAGTGGAGCAGGAATTGACAAATGAAAACTTAGGTGAAGATCAGACATGGGAAACAGTGCAGGAGCAAGATATAATTGAGATACCCAGTTGTGACCAATGGGCGGACATGCTGGGAATACCATCAACATCAAATGTGGGAAAGATAAGAAACAAACCCAAAGGACATTCTAAACTCCCTTATGATAGATTGTAAATAGGATAACCATATATTGTTGATTTTTTTCAAGAGTTTGTTAATATTAGTGTTAAGCTTGAGGGAAAGGTATGTTGTATAACAATAATTGTGTGTGTCTTTTATTGTCACCCTCAATATAACTTTTTATCAAAAAAGTCAAATATGTAGGGTACTAAAATATAATCATTCCATGTAAGCCTCAATACAAGCAGTCATATTAAAAAACATGTTTCTAAAATATAAATGTGTTTTAATCCATAATACATCTACTTTTTAATATTATAAAGTTAATATATCTTTTCAGTGTTCACGCAATATGCTTCAGTCCAGATGGCACACAATTGGTGGTAGGTGCAGGAGAAAAAGTGATGGTATATGATCCTCGTGATGGAGCACTCGTACAGTTACTACAGGCCCACAAGGGGGCTGTACATGCGGTGGCCTACTGTGGGGATGGAAAAAAATTTGCAAGTGGCAGTGCTGACAAGAATGTTATCATTTGGACCTCAAAAATGGAAGGAGTTTTGAAATATTCGTAAGTATTTCTTTTATCTGCTTATTAATAATGAGTAACAATAGTATATTGATTTGCTGGTAAATGTAAGTAAATTTAATATTAAACTTGATATTTTACAAAATTTCAGTAGTTATATAGTTCAGTACAGTTTACTTATATAATTCAGTTTTTTTAATAATTGTTACTTTCTATTCAATTAAATGATGGTATGATATTATGCCTTTAAGCTGTGTATGATAATTCCAATGCCAGTTAGTTATAAAAAGGAAATATATTCTCGAATGAAATATGATGGGAAATACAGTGGCTCAATCAGATCAATCTTGATGTGTTGGCACGAGCTAGACCCATTGGAAAGTGGTCAATTTAAACCAGCTTGGTTTCCAGATAGAGGCGAGGTCTCGAAATACAGGGGAATAATACTAATAATCAAAGCATATTTATTCCCTTCAACCTCCCTTATTTAGATAAGATATCATAATAATTTCTTTGTTTAACTGATCCCAGTTTGCTATTATATAGAACATAAAAGAACCATGATACTAACAGATATTTGACAAACAGTGTGATGTAACATATGTATTTTTATTTTATTTGTGGCCTTGTGCTGACGATCATCCACTTGCCCAAGACATAGGCCTCCTCCAAAATACTCCAGGTTCCTCTTTCCAACGCCTTCTTTCTCCATGTTAGTCCCGTCACTGTCCTTATATCATCCTCCCACCTCTTTTTCTGTCGCCCTCGTTTTCTTTTTTACATACATATGTATTATAGAACTTTAAACAACAAACTATCACTATGTTGCAGACACAGTGAAGCAATACAATGCTTGGCCTACAATCCAGTGACAATGCATCTCGCCTCATGCGCCCTCACAGATTTCGCGTTTTGGTCGGCTGATGTTAAAGCTGTCCAGAAATTTAGATTGGCTGGACGTATTACATCCTGTGCATGGTCATCCAATGGACAACATTTGGCAATTGGTTTGGCCAGTGGTGCAGTATCTATAAGAGATAGGGTTAGTACAATAATTACATTTACATACATAGTAGATGGTTTTAAGAGAATCACTGAGGTTGAGAATTCGGGGGAGCACAATCACCCTCCTAACAACTATATTTATACATATCAATAAATATATATAAATAAATGCATACAAAAGTAACCGTATTTTACTACATGCATATGAATATAAATACGGTACATACATCAGTATAACATTTTTTTTAATTTTTGTCTGTCTATTTGTTCCGGCTAATCTCTGAAATGGCTAGACCGATTTTGACGGGACTTTTTTAGCAGGTAGCTAATGTTATAAGAAGTAACTTAGGCTTCTTTTAATTTAGAAAAATAAAGCTAAATTCCACGCGGACGAAGTCGCGAGTACAGCTAGTCATATATATGTCGGATTGTTCGCTCCTGAGGCACGGGGTATAGTTGCACTGCTGGGGACCCAGTGCTTCTGGACGTGGACATATATATATTAACTGAGAGCATATCTCTATATCATTATTATTATTATAAACGCGAATATTTGTGAGTATGGATGGATGTTTGTTACTCTTTCACGCAATAAAGAGTCCGTTCAGTAGGACAGATTTTGATGAAACTTTACAGTAATGTAGCTTATACATCAGAAGAACATATAAGATATAAATCTCATGTGAGTGAAACCGCGGGCGCAGCTAGTATATTATAATTAATTAGCACAGCTTATAAGTTGTTTACAGTAATATAGCTTATGGATCAGTATAACATATAAGGTATATTTTTTTATTGAAATATAATCCAGGTGTAACCGGGGGCACAGCTAGCATATTATAATTTACTAACAGCTTTTAAGTTGTTCACTAACTCAATATGGATGTAATCCGAAATATTTAACAAAGAAATAAATTATATGAATGAAATCAAATTGCATGTTTCTAATTTCAGCAAGGTGATGAAACTCAACGGATTATACGCGACGCTGCGGTGTGGGCTGTGGTATTCTCTAAATCAACACTTCTGGTTACTGATTGGAATGATACACTGTCTTTTTATAGTGTGCAAGGTCAACAATTACACAAAGAACGCAATATTGGTAAAGATCATGTCTATATTTTATTTGTTCCTAGCTACTCGCGGCGGCTTCGCACGTACACCCACATGTATTATATATATAAATCTTCCTCTAGAATCACTCTGTCTATTAAAAAAACCGCTTCAAGATCCTTTGCTTAGTTTTAAAGATTTAAGCATACATAGGGACAGGCAGCGATAGGAACTTTATTTTATACTATGTAATAATAATAATGATGATAATGACTAGCTGTTACCGCGGTTTCATTCGCGTTAAAAATCAATAAAAATTATAGCCTATGTTATGTGATGTGCTATGTTATTCTGATGTATAAGCTATATTACTGTAAAGTTTCATCAAAATCTGTTCAGTAATTTTTGCATGAAGGAGTAACAAACATCCATACTCACAAACTTTCGCGTTTATAATATTAGTAAGATAATATCCACTACATATGCAATACGAAATGTCGAGAAACAATAAGGTTATTGTATTAGAAGTTTGCTTACATAAATCTTAAAATATAACTATATAATGTGAAATAATCAGATTTTGTAGTATCATAGTAACTGGGACTTGTGATAAATGCTTATTTATTTTATTAACTAATAAAAGTTTATTATTATTATTATTATTTTTATTATTTATCTTCTCGGCTTTTGCCGGTAATTTTGGTAAGTACGGGCCTAAGCCAATTACATAGCAATGTTAAATGTTTAGGTGAATATACTATAAATATTGGCCTATTATTTTTCTATTCTATTCTATTCTGTAGTTGGCAGTATTATTATTATTTTAACAATTTTACTTTAGTAAATAAAGATCCTGAAGAAGATCCGAAAGATAGAGATAGACATAACTCCCACAGAGTTGTAGGAAAAAATGCTTTTTTATATTACTTATTTGTTCATTATCTCATTTAAAACTTAAAACTCTTTCACTTTCCTTGTTCATAGACTAATGTAACTTTTTTGAAATCAACTACTGTACAGATAATATATGTTTGTTATAGATTATACCATGTGCGCTGTAGCATGGTTCGAGTGACAGCTTCAGTAATGTTTCATTTCATTCTTGAAAGTTGCCGCCACAGTTGAAAATGAACAAATTATGACTTAATATTTTAGCTTAGTTATTAATGATTTAATATACTACGAATGTGGTACATTCGTAATATATTAAATCATTAATAACTGTAGTAACTTTAATTTAACCCAGCCAGAATGCACTAGTCTATTAATATAGGCAACTGTCACCTGCATCATAATACAGCGCACATGGTATAAGTAAAATTATGGAATAAAAATATTTTTTGCCACTATTTCTTTACATTATTAATTACATTTAAATACTTATTTCTTTTATATTACATACTGATTCTATTTTTTCACGTATTCTTTTATTTGGGACACTGGCACTGCTAAGAGTGTGTACATATTATTAATTAAAATCACATATTATATTAACTAATTAGGAGTGTTGTGGACAGTAATGTTTCAAATGTAAATAAAATAAGTATAATTTATCGTAATTGATTGGTTTCAGGTTTAGCGGCTCTCTCGATTTCGCTGTTGGGCGCGCTAGTATTAGTGGGCGGAGTAGGTGGCTGGGCCGTGCTTACTTCTGAGGGAGTGCCCATATTGAACACGCCACAGGAATGGGTATGGGCTATTATCCCATCGCCTGCATTCAATACAATGGTAGGTTCATCATCATCATCATCATCACCATCATCGTCATCATCACTACCACCAGTCCACTGCTGAACAAAGACCTCTCCCAAAGATCTTCACGACGATCGGTCCTGCCCTGCTCGCATCCAACGCCTTCCAGCGATCTTGACCAGATCGTCGGTCCACCTTGCTGGAGGCCTTCCCACGCTGCATCTTCCGTTCCGTGGTCGCCCCAACAGCCATCTGTCCTACGAGCTATGTACCCTTTGGCACTTTCGCAATTCTTCGGGCTATGTTGGTCACTCTGGTTCTTCTGCGGCCCTTCTCATTTCTGATTCGACCACGCAGAGAAATCCTGAGTGCAGCCGATCCATCCAATCTATCCAATCCATTCAACCTATCAAATGGTAAGTTGTCACTAAGTAATCTAAGTCCCAGTTATAATTACTAAAAAAAACAGACACTGTACTTTTACATTAACATACAGAGGCATGGATGCCACACTGTAGTTTCAGGGGTTTCTTAAGGGTTGACAATGGAATGGTGCACTCGCCTGCGCTAACGGTATACGCTGGCGGGGCACCAGTGGAGGATGATAAAATGAGTTCATACTCATATTATTATCCTCCACTGCTGCCCCGCCCCCCGACCTCATGGTCAGCTCAGATAAAATTGCCATTATGGGTAACTACCCATAATGGCTACCCATTATTAGAATTTAACATCAAGTGGTGAATTTACCAGAATTTAACACAGTTTCCAGGTCTACCTGACTTAATACAGTACTGGCGAGAGCACCGTCCAATATCATCCTTAAAAACATATCTTTATTTAGAAATAAATATAATTATGATAATATTAATATAACATTTTATTGTGCACAGAAAATTATTTACAAAATTATCATTAATTTATCTTAATTATTGTTATGTTTTAATAATCCTGATTTAAAGGGCAGTTAGAATACAGTGTATGAAGTTGTAACACTTTAATCCTTAGAAATAAATAAAAATACCAAGCAGTATTTACTTTAAAGTTATTGCCATAGTGTAATGCACATTAATAATATAGACTTAAAGTTTTATTCTCCAATAAATCAATCTATAAAACATGCTGGCATAAAAACTAAGCTTAACATAATTATTCACTTGAAAGTAAATGCCATAATACAATACCTGTGAATAGAATAGGATATTTTTTCTTCAATAAATGACTCATTTTGTAGTGACTTTTTGTTTAAATTTTATTTTCAGGCTGTGGCGTGCCAAGATGGTACTCTATGGTGCTACCAAGTGGTATTCAGTACAGTTCACGGGCTATATCGGGAGCGTTACGCATACAGAGAGAACATGACAGATGTGATCGTGCAGCATTTGACCTCAGGGAACAAAGTTCGAATTAAATGCCATGATAGAGTGCAAAAGATTGCTATATATAAACATAGATTAGCGGTTTGTATTTGCTCCTGTTCTTATTATATAATACTCTAAATGTGTCCGCGGTATCACCCGCGAATTTTATAGCCTATATGTTATTCTGATGCGTAAGCTATATCAAAATCAGTTCAGTAGTTATTGCGTGAAACAGTAACAAACATCCATCCATACTCACAAACATTCGCGTTTATCATATTATTAAGAAATGAGTTAGTTAAATAACTAATTATTTGAGGACCTCGGTGGTCTAGCGGTTTAGCACACCACTTTACTTCCGATCGTAGCGGATTCGATTCCTCGCACGGTGCTAACATTGTGTTCACGAGTATAATTGTTTGTATGTATTTACGAAATAAATATATTTATATATTTGTATCAGTTGTCTAGTACCCATCACAAGCTTTAGCTAACTTAACTTGGGACTAGAAGGCGTTGTGTGAAATGTCCTGAGTTAATATTATTATTATCATTGTTGTCTCATTTTCTTAGCTTTATTATGTATTCTTTATATATATTTTATATATCTCCCTTTGATTGGGTGATAAACTTGTTATTGCGTGTGAAAATCACCAAACAATGACAACTATAAATTATTATTATTATTATACTGACTATAGTCGCACTTTCTAAACTTTTGTTGATTTTTTCCACACTTATGGGCCGAAACCAAGTAAATGCAGTCTCTTTGTGTGTGTGTGCGTGCGAGTGTGTGTTTCTGTGAGTGTGTGTGTACTTATTGTGTGATTGGTGTTGTCCTTTTCATCTATTTCCAGAAAATTTCGTACAGTTCGACAGGTTTATTATTATTATTATTATTAATACTGTATTTCTGTCCATAAATAGGTCCAACTGCCAGAACGAGTCGTAGTGTACGAACAAGGGGACGTAGAGGGTATGCTGTATAGAGTTAAGGAGAAATTATCGCAGAAAATAGAATGTTCGCTACTTGTAGCTACTAGTGACGCTTTGCTTTTATGTCAGGTAAGTACATAGCACCATACATAACGAACCATTTTTTATCGTGGAGAGTCTTCATAGATTCGTCCACCCGTCCTGGGGAACGGGTGGAATATGTGAGATTTGTACACACTAAAAACTCCACGGTGTTCCTCGGTACGCCAAGTCAGCATGCCACGGGAAGTACATTTATATTCTACCGCGACAGCTGTAGCGACGGCCAGCTCTGTAAGGTATTTAGAGCAACCCCTTCTCATTTTAATACAAACTTTCAAAAGATGTTTAGAAGGTATGCGGGAACACACGCATATCTTCACAGAACCCGTTTTACAGAGAGTGCACGCCCCCGCGTGCACATCTCTGATGTTCAATTATAGGGGTCGTAGGATATTGTGTGTTGATACATACATAACGAGCTTATAATTTGGTTTTTACAATGTCAATGTGACTACTGTGTAATTGTTGAAATGTTAGCGCCCGCAGCGACATAGGAATTTATTCTCTATCCCTACATCAGACAGTTGTTTTCACAATAAATTACATTACATTTTACAAAGTACGACTTTAATGCTTCATCAGTACATGGGCCTGGCCACTGCCTGCTTGAGTATATATGAGAAGTCGACTCAATATAGTGTCAGCGGCCGTCCCCTTCTAACGCCGTTATGAATTACGGGTAAAAATTATTATATTATAAAAATAAACAAATTTCAAATAGGTAATTTCGTTCACCGAACTAACTTCACTATACCAGAGCGGTAGCCGCGACAGTGCATCCGCGTTATTTTTAGCCGATGGTACATATTCTATATTGTAAGTTATGGGCATAACAATCATGGCTGCAAGTCGTATGCAACGATGGGAAGTGTTACTGTCCGGGTATATTTACAATATAGAATATGTACCATCCGCTAAAAATAAAGCGGATGCACTGCTACCAAATACTGAAGACAATGTTATGATTGGTTCTCAAGATGAAATGCCTACCATATAAGTATAGGTGAAACTTCTTTACACCATAAATAATAGCCAGAGCCATCCGCTCAATTTGTGAATATGCCCACTCGGCTTCTGTTAGCGAACGCGATGCATATGCGATGGGGCGTTCTCTACTACACCGCAGCGACATCTACATTACTTGCATCCGTCGTTAAGATTAAAGGCTAATCAGTCGAATAATGCAGTAATCTTCACTCGATATTAATAACTGCTTTACCTCCCTCCCGTGTTTAAAAGCTTTTTCACAATTTTCTGTCCATACGAATCGAACCCCTGACCGTAATAACATATACCGGAGCTAAAATGAAACTTATACTCCTAACAAATTTACCGTAATACATTACCATACCTAAGAAAGATCGTAATTCGCCTAAGTTTGTAAGTATGGGGGTGTTCGTTATATATGTAACTTTGTCTGGACAAGTATATACCTCCTTTTTTGAGACAACATATCTTAAATAAGTAACCGAATCGGCAAAGAAACTGCATATTTTTTTTTAACTTTAAGACCACTAGATTTCAATATTTATTATCCCTACCACTAATAGTAATATCATCAAATAATACCCCTACAAATGGTATATGACCAAACAATTGTTGTAACTTCCTTTGAAATATTCCCGGACTAGACGCGAGACCATACAATAATCGATTATATCGAATCAGCCTTTATGCGTATTAATCACTGTGCTATTACTGGTATCATCGAGTGTAAATTGCGCATAGGCTTGAGATAAAGCTATTTTTGAAAAATATTCCCCACGATGTAACCGCGCGAGTAAACCGAGGTAGAACTCCACAACACACTAGGCAAAGGGTGACAATCCACATTCAACATTTTATTTAAAGTTATTTTGTAATCAGCGCATATTCTGATGTACTATCTTTCTTTATCACTGGCATAATGGACGTAGCCCAGTCGGAGCGGTCGACAGGAGTGAGCACTCAGTCGCTCACCAGCTAATGTAGCATACATTAGCTGGTGTATGCTACATTAGCTAACAGCCTACCTACCAGTAAAGCGACCCAATTCGTATGCAAACACTTCACTGTATCTGAAAGTAAATTGACTATAATTAAAATTATTGCAAGATACATTGTATATATTGTAACCATTACCATATGGTTATTGCCTAAATGTATTATTCATTGCCTGCCCAACACAGTTTTACCCTTTTAAATTACATATAAATTTAAATATTATTTTCTATTTTTATATTTAACGAGTGGTTTTATGACACCTGCCTGTCGTTCTTGTTTCACCTGTATAATATCTCAATAATAAATTACATTTTTCATCGTTAAAATGTACTTTCGTCCCCTATTTTATTCTTTATATTAAGGTAAAAATTGTACATACTTTAAATGTCATATTTATTTATACTTAATCAACAACCTAAACAATAAGTTCTAGCTTTGAAAATGACTATACTTCCATACAACATTTCATCACCCCTTTCAAGCCTTAAAACCCCCTATTTCCATTAAAAAGCAGCCTATATCCTTTTTCAGGCTTTCTTGTATTTCATTTAAATCGGTTCATAAGATTTGGTGTGAAAGCGTGACAGACAAACAGAGATACTTTCGCATTTATAATTTTGCAATAATAATAATGTATTATAGTATAGTATAGTAAGGATTGCTTTATTAATGTCCCAGTTTTAATATAGTGCACTTTAATTTCTGGCTTAGGCGCCGGCGATGAAAACACGCTTGTAGATTCAACGTGAAAGGGCCTACAGTTTAATTGAAATATTCCTACTGAAATGCCTTACAATACTCATATGATCCGTCCATAACAATGATGATAGTTGACAGTACATCTCATGACCTAATCGGGATTTACTGTTGCAATGTTATTTACATATTTTGTTGTATATTTTTCAGGATACGAAATTAGTTATGATTGGACGACGAATGCCAAAATCGTGGGTTGTACCGGCGCCCATACGTTATGTTAAAGTGACAACCTTGTATTTTGAGGAGGTATTGTTACTGGGACTTCTTAACGGGCAGGTAAATCAAAATTAAAATCTTTATTCATGTAGGTCTATTACAGAGTTATGATATGCCAAATCTACCGTTACTTCGGAATGCTATTTTACGGAGTTAAGAAATTAAATTTTAGTTGTATGTTTTTATAATAATTTCGATATAATTAGAAGGACACTGAGATCAGAAGACGCACTAGAGTTACCGATATCATCAAAAGTAAGCTACAGAAGCGTATGAAAGGTCATGTATATCGAAGCAGAGATGACAGATGGATACAGACTTAGAATGGGAAGCAGAAACGTAGGCAGACCAACTGCCAGATGGTCTGATGACATCAAAAAGTCGGCAGGGCCGAACTAGTCAAGCGCCATAGATCAAACAAAGTGGAAAATTATGCAAAAGGAATACATCCAGCACAGGAGTAATTGATGCTAAAAGAGAGAAGAGCAAGAATCAGCGGTATACCAAAGAGCATAAAAACAAAAGACAATCGTAATCTAGAAAGCATAGTATTATCTGTTTCAAAATTATGAAATTATTTAAGTAAAGAGGTTTTAATAATTTATTATTTATGTTGAAATTCCCAAAACTGCTAGCCTCCGATTTGGTGGATAATAATGGAAGTAGGATATGGGATAGTAATAGATTGTCTTTAAATGAATCTGTATTGTAAATAAATAAAATGAATAATAAATAAGTAAATATTGACAATATTAAAAAAAAAATGCGAGCTGAGTTTCTTGTCAGTTCTTCTCATCTCGAAATCATTCCGAACTAGGGTTCATGATTTCTCGAGCTTTTAAATTTCTCGGGTCTCGAGAATTCTCGAGGTCAATTTCTCGGGTCTTCTCGGGTTGTCGAGAAATTTACATTTATGTACGTTTTCTCATATTATTTGGTTCCAATAACGTCAAAAAATTCAGTGGTTTTCCTCTCAAATAAAAGTATCAAATTAAACTTTTATTGAGTATTTAAAAACATTAATATTACATATGAATATTTTTTTTAAATAGAGAAATAATATTAGATCCTTACATATGAAATTGGCGTTTTGTCGTACTGGTCACTTTGATCTCAAATATCTCTTCTTTGGTTAGGAATTCCATTTCCAAATTTATACAGCTATTCACTTTGGGTCACTCACAGCATACAAAATGAAAAAACTTAAAATATCGCGTTATTTACGAGTACGAGTTCCGCTGTGGCACCAGTGCTACACGGTGCTAAACGGCTCGAAGTATTAATGATGTGTAATGGCAGTGGTCTCGTAAAAGTAAACACGTGCATTTTTGGTTCCAACGTTTTCGTTCTGGAAATTTCGACGAACCAACCAAATCCTGCCCCAAGCGAAATATGGCTCAAAAAATGTTACTTGTGAACGTTTGGTGGACTATTTCCGGTGTTGTTCACTTCGGCTTTCTTAAATCTGGCCAGACGATTACGGCAAATATGTATTGTCAGCAATTGAGAAACCATGATGGAAAAGCTAGCTGCTAAACAACCGAGGCTGGTCAATCGCCAAGAACGCTTAACCACATATTGCACAACAGACAGTTACCAAATTAAAAGAGCTTCAATTGGAATGTCTAAGACAACCACCGTACTTCCCGGACCTTGCACCAACAGATTACCATATTTTTTCGAAATTTGGATAACTTCTTGCAAGGGAAAAAATTACACTCCGATGGGACAGTCCAAAGTGCAAAAACAAAAGGCAAAAGTGCATAAATAGAAATGGTACATACTTTGATTAAATAAATATATTTTATATATTATTTACTTTGATATATTTTGTAAAAAAAAAAAATACTTTACTTTTATTCCCTTACAAAACGCCAATTTCAATTTTTTAGGACCTAATTATTCAGACTTATATTTATAATAATAGCACCATTTTTGGCTGCTTATTTAGATAAAAAAAAAACAATGTAAACAAAAATAGTTTCTACAAAATAAAAAATAACACGAAAGAAAACAAAAACGTTAATATCTTAAATTATTGCGCCGCCACGCAACAAAACAAAGGGCAATTTAATTTCTATTTAGGTACATGATTTCTCGAGTTCTCGACTTTTCTCGAGCTTGATTTTCCGGGAACAAAACCCATGAATTTCACGGGAATTCTCGAACCGAGAATTCCCGGGAATGAACCCTATTCCGAACTGACGGTAGATTTGATATATAAAGAAATATGAATAAAGATAATTTGAGTTTTGAATTTTGTAAGTTTAGAAATTGATAGATTTATATCAACCGATTAGGATATTTTTAAGTTATATAATCAGAGTAACTATTGTATTAAAAAGTAAATTAGTCGAATTCTATGAATGTATGTACGTATATATGTGTATTTTGTTATAATAATGATATTATCCATTCATTCGTAACTTAAGAGCTGTTCTCTTGTCGGTGGAGCTCTCGCCACCTTCCATGATATAATACAAATTATAAGTTTCTTTATTTTTTTACCAGCAACCAAGTATCTCGGCACATCCCAAAGGTTAACTGGGAGAGAATGCTATAGCATTAAGTCCACCTTTTGGACCAATTTTAGTGGTCAATAAAGCAAATAAAATAAAGTTAGTAAATTACTTCAATAAATGATCGATCGCTATTTCGTTCTAGATTTGGCAGGTGGAACCTACCGATGGGAACTCTAAAATGGTGCTGCAAACGGCGGGTAGCGTGCGTTGTCTGGACGTTAGTGCATCTCGGAGTCGCCTGGCAGTCGTCGACGACTCCTCGGTCTGCCGGGTCTACAGTTTACCAACCGGCGAACTCTTGTACACGGTCAGCTATTACAATTTCATTTTTATTCAATCGAAACTTTGGACATGTTTTTGGGCAAATTTATTACTGTGCCTACACTTGTAATATTTCTGTTAACACTTGAGACCCTTCTTTACGTCTCTACTAGACTATGTGCGCTGCAGCATGGTGCGAGCATAGTTGACAGTTGGAGAGTTGCTACATCTAGGTTACTACAGTTATTAATAATTTAATATATTACGAATGTGGTACAGTTGAAATACTCAGTCATAATTTGTAAATCGCGACAACTTTCAAGAGTAAAGTAAGAGTTGGTTTTGTTTATTTATTATTTCTCTTTCTAGGTTTATCAGCTTGTTCTAAGACATAGGCCTCCTCCAAAAGACTCCGTGTTCCTCTGTCCAACGCTTTCCTTCTCCATGTTGGTCATGCCACTGCCCTTATGCCATCCTCCCACCTCTTTTTCTGTTGCTCTTTTATTAACATTAGTATTTTTTAATACATAATTTATTTACAGGAAGATAACGTGTCATCAGTGTCGTGGAACTCCTGGTGTGACGACTTGCTGAGTTTGTCCGGTGGTGGCTTGCTGTCTATAAAGGCTGGTCACTTTCCACCGGCCACTCAACCCCTTATTGGCTCTGTTGTTGGTTTTCAGGTATAATTAATAATAATAATAATATCTCAGGACAATTAACAGTCCGACGATTTTTAGCAACGAATATCTAAATATACTATATAAATTTACTTTATTATAAATATACTATATATATTAATATACTCATTCGGAATGCAGACTCAACACAAGAAGAATGAAAAAGAAAATTGTGTGTTGCTCTTTTGAATAAATGTTATTTTAAATGAATAAATACACAGTAACAAGTAGGAGGCATGCGATAATCATCATATCAATTGCTACGCACTGATTCCTTGTGCAATTAGATAATATTGTCAGTACTATGATTTTAAGTTGTTTCCACAATAACATTATTAGCATTTAACAAACTCCTTAATTTTTTAAGCTTTTTTTACTAAAAAAGTGTTTTATACGGCATTCGAATCTTTTTCAAGTAGATTTGGAACTTTTATATACAGGATGTTAGTGATATGTATCTTATTACAGGGAGGTCGTGTGTTTTGTTTGCAAGCGAACTCAATGCAAACTATAAATGTGCCGCTGTCTCACGCAGTACATCAAAATATTCAACAAAAGTTATTTAAGTGAGTAACAAATAATCATAATTGCATAGTATAAAACAAAGCCGCAGCCGCCGCTGTGTGTACGCTCTTATTTATTATACTATTTCTATATTACTATAGTGGCAAACAAGCATACGGCCCATTTGATGGTAAATACCATAACCTGAAACACCAGGGGTGTTATGTGCTCGTTGCAGACTTAAGAAACCTTCATGAAAAACCTCATGCTGTAGTCTTGTGAGAAAACCTCGGCATGTAGTTCATTCCACAACCTAAGTGTACGCGGGAGGAAGCTCCTCTGATGATTATGAAAAGAATGTAGTTTTCAGCGATAGATGGCGTGATTATATATATAATACACTAACTTTATCCGCGATTACGTCCGCATTGATTTTAACTTTATTTTTCTATAACAGAAGTAGCTTAAGCTACTCTTTATTACATCAGCTACCTTCCAAAAAAAGTTCCGTCAAAATCCATCCAGCCATTTCAGAGATTAGCCAAAACAAACGGTCAGACAGATAAAATTGTATAAAATGTTATTTTGGTGTATGTACCGTATTTACATTCATATGCCTTTAGTAAAAAAAACGGTTATTTCAATATTACAACACAATAATATTACGACAATTTCAATAATACGACACCCCAATTTTATTTATATGTATTGATGACAATTTTTATTTTAACTAGATTTATTTTACTTCACAAACTTATTTCCACTCATGCACTACCTACTTCATGTTTTAGTACATACTCTCTTTGAACGTTAACTGAGAGAGATTGCATTAGCGATAAGATTGCCTTTTGTACTTAGTTTTATTTTTCTTAATGTCCTTTCTATATTAGTGCAATAAAGTATTATAAATAAATAAAACTATTCTTTAGTTAAACACCACTATTTGATGATAATAGTGGTGTTTAACTAAAGAATGTTACATAGTATAAAATAAACTGCCGCTGTCTGTCCCTATGTATGCTTAAATCTTTAAAACTAAGCAGCGGTTTTTTTAATAGATTGAGTCTAGAGGAACGTTTATATATATATATACTAGCTTCGCCCGCGACTTCGCCCGCGTAAAATGACAATACTTCCATAGAACCTTTCACATTCCCTTTCAACCCCTTGCAACCCTTTTTTCACATTAAAAAGTAGCCTATGTCCTTTGTCAGGGTTCTAAACCCTATCTGTGTACCAAATTTAATTTAAATCTGTTCAGCGGTTTAGGCGTGAAAGTGAGACAGACAAACAGAGTAACTTTCGCATTTATAATATTAGTGTGTGCGAAGCCGGGACGACTAGCTAGTATTAATAATATGTAAAATTTTTAAATTACAGTGAAGCATATGCGGTGGCCTGCCTCGGTGTGACTGCGTTGGATTGGGAACGACTCGGAATGGCAGCGTTAGAAGAACTTAGTTTCGAAGTTGCGAGGAAAGCTTTCCAGCGGAGCGAGAATATCATCTTCCTGTCTCTTATTGATCATTTACAGGTTTATTTTGTAGTATTCTTGTTTTTTAAAGCGATGATAATGGTGTAATCGTTGCACTAATAGTATATGCTGGCATGGCGCCAGTGGAGGAGCGCATAATAAAGCACAATACCCGTTGATTGTGTATTTTTTTATGCTATGATGGTGGCAAATAAGAAAGGATGGATGGATTGTGCGAAAGATGATATAAAAAAAAAAGAAGAGTATGCTCAGATATGACGAATGATAGAGAGCAGTGGAAGAGAATGACATACTGCAAGGTAATGATGATGATGGTGGCAAAAAAGCATACGGCCCATCTGTTGGTAAATGGTTACCGTAATCTATGGAAGCCTTTAGAAAGTTAATATATATTGTAACTGGCTAATCACAAATGTATTTCATATTCTAAATTTGTATTGAAATTCTGTAGTTCCTTTTATTGTACATTTTTGTTTGTTACTTGGTTTATTCTGATATGTCAATACTATCTGGATATATATTTTCTCCGTATACCAAACCTTTTTTCTTTTTACCTGTACAAATATAATAAAACATACAACAATATACCTTTACCTCTTGAAAAACTTCATTAGTCTCGCAAGAAAACCTTGACGGGTAGTGCTTTCCACAATCTAAGTGTACTCGGTAGGACACTCCTCTGAAACCGCACTGTCCGAGACCACTTATCATCGACAATTCTCATAGCACGAGAGTCAAATAGATAGATGTATAATGTGAAAGTGGAATAATAAAGGTTTCAAACAACCAGATATCCAGTTCTTATATTATTTCAGAGAAAACTTGAGTTTTATACAATAATGTGTATACAAAATTATACAAAGCTATAAAGCCAATGAAATATGTGTATTTTTATATATATATTAATTTCATTCAGGAGCGGTTCGAAGCAGGCGAAAAGCGAGGAATAATTACTGGCGAAGTGCTTGCTTACCGTGGTCGGTATAATGATGCGGCGCGAGCATTCCATACGGCGGGCCGTGACGACCGTGCCCTAAATTTATACGTCGACTTAAGAATGTTCAATAAAGCGCAGGTGCGTGCAGACTCGATTTATTTACCTACCGTTTCCATTGCAAATATATTATTATCTTACAATTATTATAAATCTGAAAGTTTGCGAGTATGGATGAATGGATTTGTTACTCTTTCACGCAAAAACTACTGAATTGATTTCAATGAAACTACAATAATATATAGGCTATAAATTTCACGCAGGTGAATTCGCAGGCACATCTAGTATCTTTATAATTTTGCCTAAAATGTTCTAGTAGTAGGTTTTAGTGAATAAAATTTCTTATCATATTAATTTAGGTCTGCTCTCATAAGAGTATGACGAGTGGTGATTAATTTTAATAGTATTATATACATAATTTTGTATTCTGACCACTTGACTGACTGATATTCTGTGGCTGACAGATAATGGTGACAATTCATTGACACTAACATTAATATGTAATATTAGAAAAGCATGATGAGAAGCAAATGATTCCTTTCTTCTTATGAATAAAACTCGTTTATTTTCAAGATGTCTTTTATTGATGTCAATATATGTATAAGATATAGTAAATTGAGTGACATACGGTTGTCCGTAATCTAAGTCCCAGTATCAGATGAGGGTACTAATAAAAATTTAAATTGATATATAAAAAAAATAGACTTGGCTTAGTACAGTGAATTGAGGAGGCCATTTGTTTTAGGGGATTTTAAGGGTTGATAATGGAATGGTGCACGGTTCTGCGTTAAAGGTACATTAGTGTAGGATGCCGAGATAAGTATGAGGTCAGGTCAGTTAGCCCATCGTAGCAAATTCATCAAGAATTTAACATTATATTTTCCGGGATGATCCGCGTGTAGATTAACCTGATGTGGCACATTTCTAGGGTTATTAATCCACATTACCAACAATCATCTTCCCCCGTAGATTTAGGGTGGTCACTTTGTCTTTTTATGTAAACAACAAACAAACACGGCAACGGCCTATCTGATGGTAAATGGTTACTGTAGCCTATAGACACCTGACACACTAGAAGTGCCACGAGACCGGCGAAATATTTGGTCCTAGGGTTGTCACTCTATGTAAGTGAATATAACTGAGCCACGAAATCTGTAGAACGATGTTACATGTTTTGTATTAATAAGACGAATTGAATTATAATTATAAAGGAGTACGTGGGCGAAGGGGAGGGTATAGCAGCACTAGCGAGGCAAAGGGCGGAGTGGGCTCGACACGTGAATGAACCCCGTGCAGCTGCAGAGATGTACCTCGCGGCCGGGGACGTGCCCAGAGCGGCGCAACTCATGGCGGAGGGCGGCCGCAAGGACATGTGAGTGTAGTAACAACCCGTATGTAATCCTAGCCTCGTACATTGTCGTCCTTGTGTAAGATCCACTTATTATGATGACGATTTAGGCTTTGAAGCCGGCTACCGGAAGGGAAACTTCACGTAGCGTCCGTGACTTGTGATACGGGTGTAGGTTTAAAATGCCCTTTTGAGAGTGTTAATGCATTCTGCATTAACACTCTCCTTCACTACTAGCAGATTCCTCCCAGACCCAACTAAATCCGGGATAAACCTGTCTCTAATACAATTCGCTTTAGTATCCAAAGTACAACCGGCCCGTTCTGTGCTCGTCGATTGAATGCCGTGGCTTATAAAGACTCTCCCCTCTCACACAGATATGCGTGAGGGTTATACGCAACTAGTTTAACGATACTAAGTAATAATAAGACTACCTTCTTTTAATATTTTTAAAATATCGGATTTTTCTACAATATCGATGTCGACTCTAACACTTGGCTTTATACTGTGACCGTCACAATAACACCCTGTATACAATCTTATATATCATATTCCTTGTCTTTATCTCATTATTTATCGATGAAGTTTAGCCTATATATAAACCTATACTCATACAGCAAAATATCACAAGAACATCCTGTATATATAGTCCTAAATATCATCATGATTTTCATGTCTTTATAGGTTGATAGAGTTGGCCCGCAAGTTGGACAAAGGTTCGAGTGAATCGTTACGTTGCGTGGCGGAAGCGTTAGTAACTGCCGGCGAGCCGGCCACTGCCGCTGACGTTTATCAGCGCCTCGGAGACTATAGGTAAATATATAATCATCATCTGCTTCTTCCTAAACCCATTTATTTGGGGTCGACTTAATATTTGCTATTCCATTCATCCCTATACGCAGTCATCTCGTTATTTGCTCCCTCTATGTACGTAAATATATACTATATATCGTTAGCCTGGAAACCTTAAAGACCATAAAATATTTAATAATTAAAGAAAAAATTTCATCGTTCTAGTTTTAAAAATGAATTTCCATACAAACTTGCATACCCCTATTTTATTTTTCCCCTTAATGTTTATAATCTTTACTAACTTTGAATTTTATATTTATTTATATTTAATCAACAGTCTAAAAATAAGTTTCAACTAACACTCGAATGTTGAGGTAGATGTGTAGTGTGACAAGAATGGATAAGATAAAGAATGAATACATTAGAGGAAGTATGAAAGTGGCACCGGTGTTAGAGAGGTTGAAGAGTAATCGTCTATCATGGTATGGACATGTAACGCGTAGGAATGAGGATAATATTTTAAGGAAGGTGTTACATATTAATGTGGATGGTTATAAGGGCAGAGGAAGGCCGAAAAAGAGATGGATGGACTGTGTGAAAGATGATATGGTAAGAAAGGAAGTAAATAACGCGATGACTCCGAACAGGAATGAATGGAAGATAAAAACATTTACGCCGACCCCAAATAAATGGGATAAGGAAGAAGCAGATGATGATGAGACTCATCTCTTATCTCTCCTTTCAACCAACCCCTTACAATCTTTTTTCTCATTAAAAAGTAGCTTATGTCTTTTCTAAGGGTTTAGAGTCTAGACTCGCTCTACAATTCATAGCACTGACTATGATCTGATCGCACTAAGAATGACTTTGTAGCTGTTTCTATGTTGATTATGTCATGCCTCTTACTTGTTATTTATATAAAATAACATTTATTCAAGCAACTCACAAGTTTCTTGTTCATTCTTCTTGTGATGAGTTTGCACTCCGAATTAGTGGTAGGCAAAATAATATTATTTCTATTTCTGAACTAAACATGTTTTGACCTACTTTGCAGAAAAGTAGCTCAGCTGGCGGTATCGGCGGGTGAGTGGTCCAGAGCGTTTACATTGGCACGAGAACACGCTGAGTGCAAACGCGAAGTCTACCTACCATATGCACATCGTATGGCACAGGAGAATAAATTCGTGGACGCACAGAAAGGTAAACTTATATCTTCATTTATCTTAAACAATAATAGAGAGATGGAGATCATCCTTTTAACAAAATTGCAAATGCACTCAATTCACCCAAATTTGAATTTAAAAAGTATATATATACTAGCTGTCCCGGCAAACGTTGTTGTGCCATATAAATTAATAACGCTATAAAAAATAGGGGTTGATGATAGAAGGGTGAAAATTTAGGATTGTATGTATTTTTGTATGTTGTATCATAAAAAAATAGAAACTAAAAATTTTGTCTAAAAAAAAAAAAATTTGGGGTGGACTACCCCTAAGGGGGATGAAAAATAGATGTTGGCCGATTCTCAGACCTACTCAATACGCTCACAAAATTTCATAAGAATCGGTCAAGCCATTTCGGAGGAGTATGGGAACGAAAACTGTGACACGAGAATTTTATATATAAGATATACATATAGTATATACTGCAAACATGTACAAGTTCATTTGAAATGAAATGAAATCAAAACCTCGGAACGGTGAGGTCGCTCCGTGAAGCCTGTGAAGACACCAGGAGACTTCTGCGCTTTTGGGAGGAGTTTGGATACTTTAGTAGTTACTCCACAGATAGAACGGCCCAGATGAGAGGCTGATTGCGGAAAATGCAGTCCAACGATACAATACAATACAATTCAATATTCTTTCAGCATATCACATGGCGGGGGAGACAAGTACAGCGATGCGAGTGTTTACAATACTGGTGGGCAACGCTGTCGCTGAAGAGAGGTTCAGCGATGCTGGATATTTGCACCATCTACTAGCAATGCAATGCTTAGACACTGCGACTAATTCAATTAACAAGTTAGTTTTTACACATCTTTATATTATTATCTCACCCCAGTAAATCACACTTTTGAACATTCAAGTTCAAATTTACCGTCATAAGTATGTAGGTACTGTTGCGTTAGATAAAGACAAAGTTATCTTTCAAGCAATGTATCATGCCAGATTGATCATAATAACTTAATTGTCTTCAATCAAATTTCATAATTGTGTTCCATTAATAAATTTTATAGGGAAAGGGAAAACAGCCTGCGGCAGTATTCGTACAACGAACGCCTGGCCCGCATATACAACGCATACGATTCAGTACATCGATGTATCCATGAACCGTTCTCGCTCATTCAGCCCGACTCGTTGTTGAATGCAGCGAGGTATGTACTAGCGTTGTTGGATGGTGAACCACCGCCAGGGATATCTAAATTGTATCCTTTTTTTTCATTAAGTAGCTGAGCCGGCGAACTATAAAGAATTTTTCTATATATAAGTATAATAAAAGTAGCCTAAGTTACTCTTTCTTCTTCTCCTTTATTTTAAATGGCCGCCACCAATTCTGATCGGTGATTTTGCCAGTGTCATGGTTTGAGAGACACACTTTATTACTTTACTTACCTCCAAAAAAAGTTCCGTCAAAATCGGTCCAGTCATTTCATAGATTTGTTCCGGCACAAACAGACAGGCAAAAATTGTAGAAAATGTTATTTTGGTGTATATACCGTATTTATATTCATATACATGTAGTAAAAAACAGTTATTTCAATATTACAAGCAGACATTCCAATTTTATTTATATGTATAGATTATTTCATATGTATGTTAGTCATTAAGGTATTTATATGGGCCATGTAGCCTGAATTAAATAAGTAAATAAAATAAATTCAAATAGAAAGTGGCTTCAAACAAATGATATTTTGATTATAGATAAGTATATAATAGTATTTGTTGAAAAAATTATGCAAATAATGAATCTGTACTATATGATTGTTTAAATAATTTTTAAGATATGTTTTAAAAATAAAAAAAACCTTAATTTTCAAATTCAGCTGCTTGTATCTCTGCTTAGCAAGGCAAGCAAAGGCGCTAAATGCTAATGCTTTAGCTCGACAAATGCTAGACAAGATATTAGGTCTTCTAGTACCACAAAAATTCCAGGTAAGATGCATATTATAACATTAATAATTTGTTTTTCTGCTTCAGATTATATATATAGCGTATGTTTCTCGCAAAATGTTTCTAGACTATATTGCAAAGATATAGAGAAATACATATTGGGTTATTAGTATCTATCTTTTCAAATGAAATCAGAAATAATTTTTCATGTAGGACATTTTAGCCGCTTATGAACGTAAAGTTTTTTGTATTGTAACTTTTGTAACGCTACCGCCCAGTTTAGTGAACAGATTTAACTGAGGAGAACTGGCAAGTAACTCAATAGTTTTTTTTTAAATGCCAAGTATTTGAATTATTTACTTAGGTAGGTGTTTATGTCTAACATTAAATGAAAATACAGTGCAGGAACAACAATTGCCATGCACACTCGTCATTCAAGTATTCGTTTAGTTTTTCGGTTTACTGCTGTTGGCCACAGCTGGTCTTTACAGTTTCAGTGGACGATAGGGGGCACGTGAACAGGGCACTTCAAACCAAAGTACGGACTTATGAAGCGGCTGAAGACCAACTCTTGCCCGATAAGTAAGCCTTTAGTCTCTGCCTGATAGATATGACGGTAGGCTGAGGGGCCGTTAGGGGTTTGAACCTCGTCTCAGGTGGTCGCAATTTCGATCCCCATGTGATCTACCGAATGGGGGGGGGGGGGGGGGGGGGGCTGGTAACATTTAGTGCGTAAAAGCTTTGTTTAGTAAATATGATTTAACTTTTTCCTTATTGTCAGGTATTCCATATATATCGAAAGCCCTGTATTAATTGTCCAGGGTTATTTATTTGTTTATTGTGGTGGTTAGGAGAGTGTGGAGCTGTTGATGGTGAAGACTCGAGCGGCTGGCGGGAGCGAGGGTCGTGATGAGGAGGTGTCCCCGCTATGCTGGCGCTGCCGTCGCCACGTTCCACCGCTAAGCGCCGCACGCTGCCCTCACTGCGCACACGCACTCGCACATTCCCTGGCCACACATGGTCAGTTATTTCAACATTTTTAAGCGTTCGTGTAATTTCGAAACAACTAATACTATAAGTATGATTTAGTTTATTCAACGGCACCATAAATAAAATAGGTTATTTATTATAAGTATTTAATTTTGAACAAATTTATTCTTTACATCGTATGTTTTCAACGAATACTTTTAAGAGATATCTTAATTGTAATAAACGCTAAGATAGATATCTTTTAAACCTTAAAAAGTACTGACATTTCAGTGGAATTACAATTTATTTTTATTATATTTATTTATATATTTACATATTACATAAATGTATGTAAAACAGAAAATATGTGTAATTAACTGAAGAAACTATGTCATTCACAGAAATATAAAACTGTATTACGAATATCGACGCCTTCCACCGAGTTTATATAATCCCAAAACATACTTGCTATGACGTTACCCACGTTACCTTAATCTAATAAAATTTACAATAAATTTTAATTTATCAAAAACGAAAAAAAAATTACCTTTTTGCACAAAAAGAACAAAACTAAATTTCTTATAAAAACTACTTTCAAACACTTGTTACAGACACATTTAAATGAATCTTATACATTAATTTATTCAGGAATTGATATGATATATATTCTATTAATTTTTTGTTTTGTTTTTTTTTTCGTAGAAGTTTTACCTTTAGTACAGTTCATGCCCTCGGAAGGGATATCAGAGGCTGAAGCGCTAGAGTTAATCGAACGGACTCCACTGCCCGATACGAATGGCAAGGAAGACACGGGCGGAGCGGAGGTGCTCCGAATAGACCACGTTGATGACTCCAGCGACCCGTTCCTGGATAAAGTCGATGAGGTAGAAAAATATTCTTTATAAACGCAAATAGAATTATTACTAACATAACATTTTTAAATCAACATCTAATATATAAACTTCTCGTGTCACAGGTTTCGTGTTTATATTCTTCCGAAACGATTTTGATAGGTTTATAACTACTTGTTATACCCCTAAGCGTTAAGGGTGGTTCACCAGAAAAGAAAATTTTCTTTTTGTCAACAATTTTTTATTTTTATTTTTTTATTATGAGGTTTTAAAATACATACAACCATACATTTTCACCCTTCTACCAACAACCTTTATTTTTTTTATAGCTATTTTAATTTGTATGGAAAAACAATGTTTGCTTGATTAGCTAGTATTTGTATAATTTTATCAACTTATGATGTAAAACTTCATGTTATTGTACACTTACTTGTTGTAAGTAGGCATAAATTGTAATGTATCTAATTACATAAAAATTAAAACATATATTTACATATTTTTTTTAATCTCAGAAAAAGAAACTGTCGAAAAGAGTTTCAACTAATAATGAAGTGCAAACGCACTGCACATTTATCAAAATTGTCAAATTAATTACTGTAGAACTATATTACTCGTTAAATGTATCTATCTATAATTTATTAAGTACGTAGTTTACTATTTATGTATGATACCTGTATGTATGAATAGAATAGAATAGAAAATCCTTTAGTCATTTACTTAAGTACTTTTGAATTGTTATAGTTATTATTTTTTTTAACTACTGCTCATTCGGAAATCTAAGAGAAAGAAACTCGAGTGTTGCTCTTTTAAATAATCAATGTAATTTGACATTTATAAGTCGAAAGGTGCGTGTGTGTGTACTCATCAAACCACCACACCAAAAAGCAATACATCAAAAAATTTACTGGAGTATTTAATTATTAGGATGATGAAAGCGGCGTGGTGTGGTGCAGCCGGCAGGCGCTGCTGCAGTTGAGCCCGGCCAGCGTGGTTATAGTGAAGAGGCCCCTGATGCCTACTCTCTACTACAGGAATATGCTGCCGGAGCTGCTTGCCATAGCCTGTCCACACTGCCAACACGTATGTTCTTTTACTGTTTCTTACCGTTAACAGCTACCGCTAAAACAGATTTCAGTGACTACAACGCCATCTAGTATCTGAGCATAAGCGTAAACAACCAACCAGACAGCGTAGGACGCTGTCACACTCTGGCTCTTATCTGTAAGGTATCTAAAAAGAAATTATATAGGTACTAACTACAATACTCAATATTTGTAAAAAGCCCATACTCGACAGTAGATATACTAAAAAAAAGTCATAATATCTCTATTCATGTAGGTCAATTACAGACTCTTACGATATGTCAAATCTACCGTCAGTACAGAATGATTTCGAGATGGGAAGAACTGAGTTCGTATATATTTCAAATAAATGTTATAACAGTAAGATCGCGGGTATAGTTTGCTCGTTACATAATATTTTAGACTGCTACCCCACCCTGAGCACATGGCTGGCTACGATCATGTATCCTAGTGAGATAAGGACCACAATATATTTTATTTAATTAATATATTTTCTACCTATAAGTAAACATACAAATAGGAAAGATTAAATACAATTATAATATGATACAAAATGTATGTTGTAGAAGTTTGATGTAATCATATTTAATTTTAATTACCAAATATAAGTTTTGATTTAGCGATGTCGGTTCTTTTAATGGAACAATATTGTGTGCACAGTCCATTTCGGTTTAAAGTCATAATTGACTTGTCTGTGCGTGTATTCGTATCGAAATACTTTTTTACCCATTGTATTTATGAGAATGGATATAAATATATATTTGTCAAGGTGTTTTTCATTGACTCTTGATCTCAGAAAGGACTTAACTGATTTGAAGGCATGTTTTACTGTTGTATCAAGCTTCTCGTAATATTTAATCTTCAATTCATTGCAATCGGTTCACAAACAAAAAAGTTATAGCTTATTTTTTTTTACGAATACCTGCATATGAATTTGCAAACAAAATTAACATTAGTGTTTAATTAGTGTATCATGTAAGATTTCTTTTTCATAGATCTTTTTCTATTTCTGGTTTGTTTCTATTTTTGTGTTACACTTATTTTATGTTGTATAGTTAGTCCTGTTATTTTGTAATTATTTCGCCAATATTTCTCAAATGAATAAGGATCATTTCATTAAAATCAGTTTAATATATTATTATCATAGTTTCTTGCAAGTTGATAACACTTTAAGAACCAAATTAGTAGTTTCATACAACGGCATCTGTCCATTAGTGTTGAAGTATTTCTATGAATTGTACTACATTGTACTACATACAACATAAGTTCAGCTAAGTTAAACTAGATGCCGCTGTTTGATATATCCAGCGTTATTTATTATATAGTAGATGTATATGCGGTTTCATCCGCGTTAAATTTAAATAAAAAAATATAGTCTATATTGATGTAAAGTTTCATCAAAATCCGTTCAGTAGTTTTAGCGTGAAAGAGTAACAAATATCTATACTTATAAACTTTCGCGGATATAATATTATTAAGATTACATTGCTGTTGTGTTCGTTATTAATATGTTGTGATGTGTAGTATTAATTGATAAGATTTTTTGTTATAGCTCTTTTACGCGGAAGATTATGAGATACATCTGGTAACAAAAGGCCATTGCCCATTCTGCCGGCACCCGCCCGACGAGAGCCGTACGGAAGACGGAACTGGGGACGAATCGCTGTTAAACGGTTCAACATCTACGCCCACTAGTCCCAGCAATGGGCATGCGTCTTGGCGCTAAAGATGCCCACTGTATAGATCGTTCTCTGTATGTCTTACTAGCTGCGTACCCGCAGTTTCAATCGCGTAAAATTATAGCCTATTTGTTATTCTGATGTAGAACCTATAACTGTAACGTTTCATGAAAATCCATTGCGTGAAACAGTAACTAACATTCATCCATAAAGTTTGTGAGTATCAAAAACTTTTTAGCTTTTATAATAATAATAAGATAAAACGTCAGCTCTGATCGTACATGGATATCTGGTCCCAAATTAAAAAGAGCTTGTATTTTGGGTACTAGACAATTTATATATAGTCTTATATACATATATATATATATATAACACTGATCAATGCAAACAGATATACTCAATTAAAATAATTGTAGTATCCGAGGAATGAACCGCGACTATACTTTGTGCGCTGTAACATGGTGCAGGTGACAGTTACTAATTTTACATTTAACAATTGCTACATGTAAGTTAATACAGTTATTAATGATTTAATATATTACGAATGTGGTACAGCTGAAATACTAAGTCATAATTTGTAAATCGCGACAACTTTGAAGAGCGAAACGAAATTTTAATGATAATATGATGTATAACAGAAAGTGATGCCATGTGCTAAATTGGCACACCATCGAGGCATCAACTGTAAAAACTAAAGTTAACTTGAGTAGAATGAGATTAAAACTGAACATTTTAAGTGCCATAGTTTCTCGTAATGTACAATTCTATCTGAAGAAAATTTGTATTTACGCAAAATAATAGTACAACAGAAAGAAAATATACGGAAATTGTTATTTGTAAATCCATAGACGCAATATTTTTTGCTTTTACTCAACTTCATCATTATTAGTTATCACATTAATAACTGTAATAAAATCAATGAATCTTGAACTTATAAATTAGCTATAATATTCAACTTATATTCAATTCAATATAAATTATATATATTTTACGTGTGGTTAAATTAAACAGTTTTGAATCATAATTTGTACAGCGATTACGGTTGTTGTCACGATTACACAGAAAAAGGTGTTAGTACACACGATATGGTGAAGTTTCATGTTACATTGTATTATATAATAAAAGTACCACTGTTCACAAGTGGTTCTAATATATACAGGGATTTAAATGAAGAGAACACTGTAATTATTTAATTACATTTAATGCAATTTAAATCTGAATCGAACTGAACAATTATATGCCTTTTAAATAATTACATTTAAAAATATTAATGCAAGTTAAATTTGAACTGGACTGAACAATTATATGCCTTTTAAATAATTACATTTAATAATATTAATGCAAGTAAATCTGAGCCAATTTTAAGAAATTTATGCCTTTTACATAACTACGTTTAATTATATTAATGTAAGTTAAATCTGAACTGAACTGAACTATATGCCTTTTCATTAGCGAAAAGGTATATTCTGCAAGTTTTGATCACACAAATCCGCGTGTAAAGATCTCAGTGTACAGGATTATGAGTTCTATCTGTATAAAGTATGCATATACGGATAGTATAAAACAAAGTAACTATATTTGACGGTTTGTTCCTTCGCTTATTTCTTGTATACATATCAACGGCTTTTGACACGGTTTTTACTATTGCTTAATTCGGAAAGTTATGTATAATATTATACATGCGTAGTACTTTATATAGTATGATTTAAAATCTACAAACATAGTATCTTATATGTTACCTACTTGTTACGTACCTACATATATTAGTTGATGACAATTTGTAGTGATGTGTTTAAAGATACTTTTATAATCTTTATATATATGTATATACATATGTCATAGTATGAAAGAAATTCGCTGCCGCTGTCCGTTTGCTTATAATATTTTAATTACGAAACGGATTTCAATGATTTTTTAAGAGATGAGAGTGATTCAAGCGGAGGGTTTATTATATGTATTATACATGGGTGTCTTTTTATTTCTCAACTTGTACTATGCTAATAGTACAAGTTGAGAAATACAAAGATTTGTAATGCATCCGCGCGAAGCCGACACCAGTCGCGTGCGTAATGTAACTAACCATACAGATTATCGGCTACTATCTATTATTTATACCTCTAAGTGATAAGGGTTGTCCACCCTTAACAATTATTTATTTTGTGGACAATTTGTTTTTATATTTTCATAACGTGGCATGTAAAGATACATACAACGCTATTTTCACTCTTCTATAATGAACTTCTATTTTTAATGGCGATTTTAATGTATAGTATAGCTAGTTTTTATATAATACTAGATTTCACCCGCGTTAAATTTCCGTATATAAATTTCAATTAAAACTATGGCCTATATGTTACTTTGATGCATAAGCTATATTAACGTAACGTTTTATCAACATGCGTTCAATATCTTCTGTAGTTTCTGCGTGCAAGAGTAACAAACATCCATACTTACAAACTTTCGCGTTTATTATATTATATTAAGTGTAAGCTTTTTCTGTGTATGGAGAGTGATCATCATAGGTTTTTAAGTTGTTTTAATACAATCACAGAATGATTCCACTCGGGAGATTTTAAAACGAAGTTTTATGTCCAGTGGTCGGCCACGTGAAATAATTATTACAAACTAGTGAAATAGGATGTTATTTATATTGAAAGAACGATTTATTATATAAACATAAGGAAATGCATACAAGGTAGGTAATATTTCGTGTACAATTACTCATGCGACCGTGTAATTTGAATAGTAACAACTTTGTTACATACGTATGTAGTTGATACTGGGAACTTCGTCCGTCCGTAATTTATAACAATCACATAGATTTTGTATTACAATGTTTATACAAATCGATTCCAGTTGTTAGAAAGACACCTGATATGTATTTTTCTAGATTGCGATATTTTTAATGCTTATTGCAAACTAACTGTATATGCGGTTTCACTCGGGTAAAATTTATAAACTGGGTTATTCTAATGTATTAGCTGTATTATTGTAAAGTTTCATTAAAATTCATTCAGTAGTATTCTGCTGTCTGCTCGATTAGATCGTTTAAACTAATAATGCAGTTTTCAGCAATAGATAGATTGATTGAAAAGGAAGTTTTACATTTATAATAAATGGAAACTCGTATGAAGCCAACGCGGGTAGCTATAATAGTTAAATATAGGATAGGTATAATTTGACCTATCAAATTTAATATTATTGCAATGTTCACTAGCTTTAACACGTTTAAGACCGCATGCCCACCGATGGGCCACACCTCAACGAATGTAAGTTTACACGTTGAACCGAGTCATCTCCCGTGGGTACTTTAAATCTAGGACTAAAATTATTGTACACTATTTAAAAATAACATATAATAATAATAAATGCCGGTCCCTATGCGAGAAATAAGAATAGAAAATCATTTATTCAAAAAACTTACATTGAAGCACTTTTGAGTAGTCATTACACAGTACATTTTTTTAATCTACCGCTAATTCGGAAAGATGTATCATCGCAAGAAGAACAAGCAAGAAACTTGCGTGTTGCATTAAAATTAAATAATTTTATTATTACTTTACATTTTTAAGTTTAAGTGTGTGAATACAAACTCCCAATTAGCACTAATTCAATTAAATACTCAAATAGAAAAAATATTGAATATATAACCAAGTGGTTAAACAATTAATAATAGGAAATCAGTCTTAGCGATTAGAGCAGACCAGTAGTCCCTACAAGCAGCACCCGTTCACGTGTATGATGGATGAGCCAGCCATCACTGCGCTCGACCATATTTTAGGGAGCCCAATGACGTCGCCACAAGTCTGGACATTTCAGTGAGCATGACTACTCAAAACACTAGACCACGTCACGTAAGATTTTTCAATGCGGTATGCGGCCTTCAACGTGTTAAGTTTGATGTGTATTTTATATAATAATGTGGTATAACCCACCAATGCAGACCTACGGTCATAAAACAATCCCACTGAAAATATTATATGCACAAATAGCACAATTTGCAATGAATGTGCAATAAATGCATAGTGTAACGATTTAGGTTCATAATATTAATATAGTTTTAGATCTGTTTCGACCAATAAGTATTAGTTTGGGAATACATTCCACATCGCGTTATATTTTAGTAGATACGTAATTGTGTGTTATATTATTAAAATTATCTTTGTATTTACATATGTAAAATAATATTGTATTGAGTGTCATTCATATAGAAATATAAGTTGTTTGAGTGTTTCCTTATTTACTATTACACGCCATCTAGCATGGATTTGTATTAAATAAGATTTCAAAGTCTAACATTTATTTCTTTATTTCATTTTTAATTATTTTACAAGTTCGGCGTATCAAAGTTCTCTTTAAGTAAAATTTAAAATTAAATAAAAGGAGATGTGGTGGTGCCGTAGAAAAATATTGTACTAATAGTCTATGAATTTGTTTATAAAATAATAAAACTACTCTATGGACGCCATAGACACCATATTTATCTACGTCACCATCATCTAATATAATGGCTAAATAGATTACTACTTATTTATTATATTTACTTACTTATTATATATAAATATATAAGAATACAGTATTTAAATATCGGATGACTTTAATACCTACCTGAATTGAATTGAACGGCGATTCGATTTATGTTAAAAATATAATAAGTTACTTCATTTACAAACACTTGGTAAAATTATCATTTTTGTATCTATATTTATTACTTTTTTTGGCAATTGTATAGTTTTCCGTAAGTTTTAAGCCCCAGTCGCCATAAATAGCTAACACACGCCACTAAAATATGGAGCTATATCGGAGCAGTGGGGCGCCCTAGAAAGCCGCGAGGTAGCCAAGTCAAGGACGATTTTTCAGAGAGACCGTCGAGTAGATTTCACCCCTATGACAATACAACAACATTGCCCCCGATTTCGGTATCGAAATGATAACACTTCATTCATTCATAATTTAAGAGCTACGCTCTTGTCGATTCGCTTGCAACTTTCCGTGATCTTCCATCATGCTCTTTAATTGTTGATACGACACGACTCCCATTTTGTCCTTAATTTCTTTGATGTAGCTGTGCCCTGGTCTTCCCCTCCCCCTCTTTCCGTCTATTTTTCCCTCAATAATAATTTTTATAACATCATCGTGCCGTATCAAGTGTTCTAAACATTGGGATCCATCGTAACATGACACTGGTCAACCAAAAAATAATGTTTGTGTCCTTAGATTTTTTGCCGTTTCCATCTCGAATTAACGCGTATTGTTTGAATATAGCAACAGATTTTCTCTCACAGCT